CATCCACTTGCGTTCATACCAACGTAAACGTAATACAAACTTAAATGCTTATATAGCTTCTTTTGTTGTTGTGTAAAGGACTTCGTACTAATTCGTTTGTTTTCATTATATATAGCCTTGCTTTTTATCGCATACGATACCTTTGACATTTTGACCCAAAATAATCCCAAGCAAGCCTGTTTGTTAAGGAACCACTGTATGAAGTTTGAACTCATGGAGTTCTTGCGAAAAAAAAACCTATGCGCGGACATCGCCGCCTATATGGCGACACAAAAACTAGCATTATAAATTTTTCAAACGGCAAATATGGAAGGAGTCAATTAGAATCACGAAAAATGACTGGCTTTATAAAATTTAAAAAAAAAACAAACAAAAAAAACAATGAAATTAGGTAGTTTACAAGTTTATTAATAAAATTAACTGAAATCACTTCTGAATTCGTCCCGTCCAAGAGCCGAATCAGATGACGGAATATCGTTTAAAATGTCCTGCATAATCGTGTTGGAACCTGAAGTTGAGTTATCCCTCCTTTCCGCCCATTGTGGCCGTCTGAGGCCTTCGTTTATCTTGGGGACCACTCTCTCCCGAAAGGATGCCTTTTCGGTTGTTTCCGGGTAATAGAGCTGTACGCATCTCTCTATAGTTGATTTGCGTTCCCTGTCCAGCTCTTTCTTCCCTCTTACCCCAAACCAATTGTATTCAGATCGAAGACTTCCTGGTCCAAAAAGATCGGGGAAGAGTTGAATAGTCAACTTCAATCCGAAGTTACCCGGACCCGTGGCCTCTTCTCTCAGGCTGGCTACGACTGCTGCATCGATCTCGTCGGGTGCCGATGCAAATAAGGCCTCTGTGTCATCTGGGGTGTTTCTGTTTGTTGTGTTTCTGTCTATCCTCATTACCAGAGTCTCGATGTTTTTGTCTATGGTCGATATTCTTCTTGTCGTTGTGGCATGGTAAGTCTCCAGCTTACGCTCTAGGTCAGAGATTTTTGAGACAAGTCTATCAATAATATGACTCTGGTTCAGAACTTTTGTTGTTAATGCGGATGCTTCCGTTGAGGTTGTTGTTGTCGTTGTTGAGGGTGTTGTTGTAGTTGTCGAGGGTGATGTTGCTAGTGATGGTGTTGTATTCGGAGTTTCAGCTGTCCCTGCGGGGGCCCGCGATATCACCCTTGCAAGTTTCTGAAAAAAAAACAGCTTTCGGTAAATCGATGTTAGGAATAACGGACTATTGATATCGTGGTACGAGTATGTCTATTGATATCGTGATACGAATATGTTTATTGATATCGTGATACAAATGTCACTATTGATATCGTAATACGAATATGACTATTGATATCGTGCAGGAGTCCCGTCGCAATAAGGGTAAAATGTCTTGCCCAAGGACACAACGAACGACAGCACAGACCGGTCAGCCCTCGGCTTCCCGAGAAACACAAACCGACAATACATCACATAAAACAACATGCAAGTTGAATGGGAACCATTACAGAAGCCCCCCTCCCCCCCCCCTCCGAAACAACCCCGCAATGGAATATGATATTTCCTTTTATACAAAGTATAAGTGTCTGACCTACCTACCAATTTTCATCAAAATTTGGCAATATCTTATCAATCAATCATAGGCTAAAAAAAGTGCTGCTATTTGGTTCAAATTGGAAATAAATTTAACCATTATCTTCAGAATGTAATACCTATAAACAAACTCTCGCAAAAAAATACAAACAAACAAACAAAACAAAAACAAAAACAAAAAAAATCGGACTATATCTTAATTTCGCCTTATCAGAGGATAGCAACCTGAAACTGAGATCACCATGACGTTCGGAATGTCATGAAGTACCTATATACGAATTTTCCACAAAATCAGATAATATATCATTTTCAACCAATCAAAAGACTCCGTATGGTCGTATTTTATTGAAACCGGAAATAAACATCACGGCGTTATCCATTGTGTGATAATGTGCTTAGAAACTAAATTTCATCGAAATCGGACATTTAAATTTCAACGAATCACAGGCCAGCAAATGACAGCCAGTTTGTTGGTTCCGGATATGAGCAACATTATCGCATTCATGATATGATGATATATAATTATTCAATAATTTAGAACTAATTGTAGTAAAGAAATGGAGGCCTAAAGTTAGCCCTATTATAGTTCATAGTACCTACTTTATTTTTGGAAAAACGAAACTGGGAAATGGAACTGGGAACCAGTTTGGGGTATTACATCACGCCTCCTTAGAAATGTATATTGTGACTAGTATTTTCCCAGGGGTTACATCGATAATAGAATGGACAGCGATAATAATGACTTTACAGTCACTATGATAATAATCATGCTGTTGCTGCTGGATGATGATGATGATGATGATGATGACATTAACGACAACGACTCCATCAGCTTGAGTCAAAGTCAATCCTTCCCATGAGTGTATCTAAAACTTTAATATAAAAATTGAAAATAACTTGACTACTAACCCCGTCAATTTGCTTTTTTAACACAGATATCTATAGATATTTCAAAAAATATTGTATCTGTATATTTGTTGCCAGTCGCCTCTTGTTAGTATGGTAACTTTTTAAGCAAAAAGTAAAAACTTAAAACAAGTTATACACCTCCCATTACAACCACCTCATCCCTCTCCACCAAAATTTACTAAATTTCAAATTACTTTGTAAACGATGGTTGTATTGAGGTGTCTACTATGTCGGGCCTTTTATCAGGGGATATGTAAGGCTGAATATGGGCTCCATTCCCAATCGGATTTATTTCAAAATATGGCCAAATTTGAGAAAGCTAGATTTTACTCCTAAACATTTCCTTTCTGATTGATCAGTTTCTCCCTAAAATGAAATGATAAGCCCATTCCCAAATGAATGTAAAAAATATCTGTATGTAGTCTAGTTATATGCAAAGATTGGTCTAGTTGAATTTTTTAAGAACAGATCTATATGCAGAACTTTACGGCAGAATGTTGCCATTGCCATCTGCCTAAAATATAACACCATAGCCTCACTTCCATGACTTTTTCATGCACACAAGACAAAAATAAGACAAGAAAACAGAATGAGGTGTTGGAGAGAAAACCAATTATTGCATCAAGTAAAGTATAACATAGGTAGTTAAGGCACATTTCAAAGTAAATAAGTGACACAAAAATATCACCGACCAGAACAAAAACAACAAGAAAATACCAACATGTCAACATAATCACAATCCGCACTCAAATTCAATAATATGAATAGCAACATATGAACAATACAAAGATTTACTCCTGAAAAAGCACAAGTAGAATCAGACAAGGTGTTCCGGAAGAGTAAGAGTCTTCTGCTTCACAGACGGTAACTGTCTAGTAAACATAAGTCAATCCAAGTAAGTAATGCCATGTTTCCAAAGGAGAACACAGTAAACAACAACGGAACCAACAGGTATACTAACTAGAATCCGACACGTTCGCACAAAGTCACTTATATTGACAATGGTAACTTTCTTTGTAGGAATTTAAGCGTATACGACAATGTATTTGTGAGTGATAAATCCTTAATAATGATCTTTATGTAATCTATTACCAATTGACAGTGAATGTAATGCGTACAACTATTGGTTTGTCAACCATATCATACTTTGTTAAAGATATGCATTGTGCTGTAACCAAATTGACATATATTGTGGTGAAATAAGGCTTCCTTGCAGTATGCCCCTGTAGTATTCTTGGGTTCCGTTTGAGCGACTTGTCCTGAGGATCTCGAGAAGAAGACCGTACTTGCGTAATATTGTAACATATTGTCCGCTGTGTCAGCCATATGGAAGTTTCGAGGAGCTAAGAAAGACTTCATTTCTTAATCATTTTCCTCCACTTTTAGCTGAATAGCAACAGTAGGCCTATGGGGAAAATTCAAAATGTGATGGTGTCCAGAATTTTTTTTTAAAAGGAAATATGCTAGCTATAGGTCACCCTAACCCTTGACTTAAAACCAGTTTTAAATGTCATAATCATATAGTCACAGAACTTTACTGGATAGTTGTTTTCAAAACTATAATGATGAGTATATGGGATTCTGTTGGTATTGATGAATCAGTGTAATAGGTATTCACGTGGGTTTTTCTCCGACCTTTACCGTTAGATCATTGCATAGCAGGGCAGGATGTAGAGTAGCCATACAAGTGTATATTGATCTTATGATGTTGTCAGATATGTTAGGCACTAGACAATATACGACCCACGCATTGATATTATCTACGAAACGAAGTCCTGTTCACTACGTGACAAGATGTTGGTGACCATCTGTTTTTATAGAGACTTCACACTGGTTTCAACAAGCATATCGCCTTCCAGATTTTCCGGGAAGTAAATAATACATGAAGTCTTGTAATTCCGTCATTTCGTCCGTTCCGCCGGCCGTCCGTCCGTAGGCAAACATATGTGTATCGTTGATCGACATAGCTCTACTGAGGCAAGTTTCTAATGAATTTCTGTTCTGATTGAAAACTAATTCAAACGGAATTCGCGTTTCGGAAATCAACTCCGGTAACTTGTCATGATTATATATAATAGGAATAGAATTTGATAACCATTGCTGTACACACTGTGAAATAAACATAATAAACTGCATGGCACATGACAGTGTTATCAAACTGCAAGATAAACCGCAAAAGCTTCATCAAAATCAGCGGTTTGCTGGTCAAAATTATGGATTTCACTTTCCATTCCGAGGAAAGGTGCTTAAACCGAGGAAAGGTTGTTTCAAGTTAAATACAGTATCAATTTGCAGAACATCAAAGTTACAAGATCAATTGTCACGCTCGAAAGTGTGAGATGTTCTCTTTCTTATCTCGATGTGTTTAATTGCCTTTCGCCTCTGAATGTATTTCATTTGAGTTAGTTTTACTAATCATTTGACCTTGTCGTGCTGTGTAGTAGAATCATTTTTGACAAATCCATTTTACCAGTGTAGAAAGTTGCTAGAAGGATTCATCTTATTACTTCCTAGGTACGTTGTCCAACCCAAACCACTTGCGATACAACGAGGAGGCAAAGAATGCATATAAGACGTCTACAATGTGTGCCCAGACCAAAGCCGAGGTTGAAAAAGTTAGAAGAGCTGACGTCATCGTGTTTCAATTTCCGGTGTACTGGCTGTCTGTTCCTGCCATTTTGAAGGGTTGGTTCGATAAAGTGCTAGTAGCTGGATTTGCCTTTGATTTTCCAAACCATCTTTATGACAATGGTCTGTTGAAGGTACGTTTTGAACCAACGAAGTTTAAGGAACGCGTCTCATGTTAGTTTAAAAATAAACAAACAAACAAAAAATACATAAACAGAAAAAAACGAAACATAAAAACAAAAAATATATTATACGAAGAATTAGTTATGAAAAGTATTTTTTAAATTTCCATTTTTAAGTATTTTCATGTAATTTGATCAGCTCCATTTATGGCTGAAATCAGTGCGACTGGTGTCGGTACACTGGATTTTTTAACCTGGATTCGCTTGCTGTGACTATAAATTTCATTCCCGATTGACCGATTGTATGATGCACTTTGTCATTATGAAGATAATGAAATGTAAAGAAAGATTTGGTACGAAATGTAACAAATAATTTGGCGGATATGTGCAGAAATTGAACAGTCGACATTTTGTTCCATTGCTAAACATAATTGCATGTTAGAGCAAAACAAACTTGAATTTGAATATCAGCAATTTTTCTCGGCGATTTTTAAGGCACATTTTACGAAACCTTATTTATCTTCCTAGAATAAGACTGGCAATATTTACTATCTTTCAAATACCACTAAGAGCTTTTGGTTTGGTATTACGAGTTATCATCAAAGTCCGTTTCTCTAGTCAATTGGCCTTTGAGGTCGAACTCAACGTGACCCTAGCAACTATTGCTTAGTGCAGGGTACACTCATAGAAACGCAATCAAATGTATTTGTTTATTTGCAGGGTAAAAAGGCAATTCTCTCCGTGACAACGGGGTCAACAGAGATAATGAATTCAGACCGCGGCGTTTCTGGTGATATCAATATATCTTTATGGCCGATACAGGTTGGTACGAAATATTAAATAGTTTTCTCACATTCCAGAAAATTCAAATAACTACGTATTGCTTCTAGTTTTCACAAAAAAAAAACCATATAAATGCAACGCATATTGAAGGGAGGTAACTCTGTGCAGTGTCTGATCTTGATTGCAAAGCTCTACTTTGTTCTTTGATTTAAATCTTCTAACGTCCAACTCAGAACAAAAATTATATTGATTTAATTCAGTCAAAAAATTAATAATTACGGGACACAGTATGAACTGAAAATATCTATACAAAATGTAACCCCGTTTTAATGCCCAAATGTACACATCTTACAGAAAATTTACGATATTCAGAAAATTCCTAACAAAAATCGTTTGATAATTATCCAAAGATAAGATTAAAAATACTTAACCTGGGTAGTATTGATCAATAAACGCTTCAAGGGATTATCAAAACAAATAAACAGTAATAAAAGGGGACCCACTTAAGATACAAACCATGTTACACGAAGTTAAAAAAAAAACACGTGACTAATCTGCAGACTTAAAATTAGAGGTGACGTGCGATATTGCACGTACAGCTCGCTTTCTATGACATCTTATCTCAGGTAGAATGCATTTGTATTATCATTCGAGGGCTCGGTGTGTAGTCTGAATATGTCGTATGCGTATTGCAATGCCGAACTCATAGAAACACAAATATGGTAGCGTGTTGTATATTTTTTTCTGCTATACAATTTTCATTCAACAATTACAAAAATAAAAATCAAATACGTCCAGGCTTTAATTATAGCAAATATGTAACAATTACCTAAGTGTTTGCTTCTCGCGATAGTATCGCGGGGAAGAAAGCAGGTAACGTAAAGGTGAGAGCCTAAATTGTCCAATGAATTAGCTAAAACTTCTACCGAATAAATAACTTCACTCGATGAAATTATTCCAATTATAGTTAAGGACACAAACAAATGAAAGTTAATTAACGATAACAGTCACCGACTAGGATATGGTAATTACCGATCTCTCATAGGAAAAATGTCTAACACTAAAAAAAGATTTAATAGTAATGACAGCACGAAAACCAAAACCTTATACACGATTTAAAACATATTGGAATAACGAATGGAAATCACTTAATTAACATGGTACTCGAACCTGTGAAAATTATCTGCGTAATTCTATTCCGAGTAATCAATAAACCACTTTCTCGCAAAAAAATGGGGGAAAATGTCGCATACACTCAAGTTGTATGATAAATTTTCACCATATTTAACTACCATGTATCCCGAAGCTATGGTGTTTCCATATCGTAGCTGATTTGATATTTAAGAGACTGTTCTCAATATCACGATTTTCGCTCAAGATGTCGTCATAACACATTTTGAGAGATACATGTCGATGGAGATTAACAAATTTACGAGGTCGTAGGGGTCAAAATTAACCGATGCATAACAGTACTGAAATGGCTACACTAAGATTTAAGACATTCTAACAGTTTTTTTCCATATATATATATATATATATAGACAATGTTTATATATCAATCAAGGTGGTTAAAAACATCGTTAAATTCGGACTAAGAAATGGCTGATCGGCTTCGAATTGGTAGGAAAAGGATTTTGTTTACGTTGTACAAATTTGTCCAATTTTGGTTGTTATCGAAAGGCAAAATGCATTATGTCAAGTTAAATCAAATGATTCAGGATGTGTTTGTTTTTCCCAATACAGTACGGCACGTTACGGTTCTGTGGATTCGACGTCATGCGACCACATATATGTTTCTGTCCCGGTTATACTCCAGACGATAGAAGGAAAGAAATATTGGAAGAATGGAAGAATAGATTGCAGGATTTACATACAGAAACTCCAATAGACTTTGTTTCTGTAAACAATTTTGATCCAGAGAAATGGTTTATCATGAAAGAAGACTGCCTAGAGGAGGCGTTAAAAAGTGACACAGCTTTATCTGTTGGCCACCATCTAGGAAAGAAGCTACCATCTGTAAAATAATTAATAAGGGTATAGTTCAACCACTTTCGGTCCCCATCGGCTGTTAAATTTATCGACTGAAACGAAGGGCAGTAACTCTGGAAGATCATAATGTTCACAGTTAACTCCCTTGGGTACATTATCGCAGAGTGTTTTATTTTCCCTCAGATTCTCTAGTATTTGTTTTCATTACAATTAAAACAACGCTGTGAGTTTTATGTTTTTCTTTTCTGTTTATTTTCACGCGTTTACAATTATAACGTGTCCAACATGAGATCAGTAAACATGTATGTACATGTAAATTGATCAGATAACGGCTGCTAACCATTGAAACTCCCAATCCTGTATTTCAAGCAACCATTCGATCAGAACCTTTGATTATAAATCACATAAAAGTTGCATAAAAATTTCTGAGAAAAAAATCAACACAAACAGAAAAAAAGAATATTAAAATAATTATAGAAGTTTCCATATTTCAACAAGAGATCCCGAGTGATCTTGTCGTCCACCTGAGGATTGCTGGATATTTATTTGTTCTGTAAAAGTCGGACTTTTGTATCCTGTCCTCTGTTCCTGCTTTTAGTTACACGAACTTTAAAATTCCTCTAAGAAATAGAAGTAATAGCTTTGTCAAATCCCAGATGGTCAACTTTTGGCTATTTCGACTTTCATTATCAGTTCATAAATCCGAAGGGCACAGAGATGTAAAGACCATGGGAAACCTACACGTGAAGTTGAGAAAGATTCATCATGTAATTCACACTTAAAATCAGTAATATTTCAAAGTCGAAATCCAAGATGGCCACGAAAGATCCATGACGTACTTCTCAAGAAATAGCAATAACACGAATTAGTTAGACAGATGGTGTACATGGGGCGATTTGACCAGCCAACGTTAATAACTTGAAGTCAGAAACAGTGTTTGAGTGGAAGTCATATAGTATGGCCATGATGATAATCCTGACATCGAACTGATGTCAATGTTATTTTTCCATATAACATAAAGTGCACAATATACCAAGAAATATGTATAGGATATACACAACCCTCCAAAATCTTCATGATATATGATTTTGTCTTGCTGGTAAAAGCATTTAAAGAGTCAAAACTGTTGCAATGAATATGTCAATTACAATGCCAAATAATGTACTTTAAAATAAAGACCTTCCCTTCAAGGTTACAGTTAAGGTCAAAGGTAAACCATATTTCCAGGAAAATGCTAAATAAAATGTATGACCTATTTAATACAATGGAGAAAAGTGATACATTATTATTTGTTTCAATAAATCAGAAATATTTTTTCTTAAAATGTGTTGAGTGCAAGCTAAAGGATAGTATACACTTCCATAACATTGTGTTTCTTCACTTACATTTGACAAGCTAACCCAAACTTAAGTAATTAATGTTCTAGATCTGAAGTGGATGGAAAATTGTATCACCATTACAAACGCCTGTGATACATGTTTGGTACAATGATTCTGATGACAATAGCTTGTCACTTTAACCACTAGCACAAAAATAACTTCAATGTAAAAGTAAACAAACCAGAGAATATAACAATGTATTTACATCTGTGTGTACTATCTGTTCCACAGAACACCCACAGCAGTTGAAATATCTCACACTCAATCACCTTCCTAGGTCAAAAACTGTTACAGTATCATGTTATTTTTACTACTTTTCATTAATACATTAAACCATCCCAATATACACAATAAGTCTTGCTACCAACCCTCTGACTCAAACCCAGAGGTCGGGCTTATTACAGCACATAGGAATAACATTTGTTTGTTATTCTACTAAACAATAATACACATTTGGATGGGCTTATTACCAGGCACAGACTTATTGTTGGACAGAAATGAAAAAAAAAAACAGGAAAAAATTCTAGTTATCTACTCACTCACATTGCATCTTGTGATCTGGTTCACTCAACTTTCTTAAACATGACAAATTTATCATAATTCAGAAATAAGATGTGGTATGGACAGATTTGTGTTAGTATTCTACATAGACCTTATTAAGTTTTCCTCTATTTAACAAATATTTGATTATGCAGAACTGAATACAAACAACCCACAATTACTTTTATATTTAAAACACTATGTATGTATGTATGTAGATTACATAATATAAATCTAACACCACTTTTAAAAACCCTCATCAAATATATAAATAATGTGTGAACTTATAAAGTGTAAAATAACCTCCTAGTTAATGGCCAAGGTGGGCCTCATTATCAGCTACATTTCTAAATACATGCAAGTAGTTGGATCATTTTCCACTTTGGTACTTATTTCTGAAAAAAAATCATGTCCAATCTCAACCACACCAACCAGATTGAGCCAATTTTTATTTCTCTTCAACAAATAATTTATATATAAATATATAAAAAAAACCCAAATTTTTTTTCAAACCTCAAGAAATGTACATAAGACTATTTTGTATATGAAGATCGTCCATACTTAGGAAAAACAATGACATACAACATAAAACAGTTGGATTTCAACAAATATGGATAAGTTTTTAGGTCCATCACATTGACCTGTCAATGTAACAAACCCAACAGCATCAAATTTAAATAACATACAACCATTCAGCTACATATACACATGTAAATGGAGAAGTGCGTAATTATCATACATCATGTATACCACACAGTATCACATTGTACAAGAGTTATCAAACAACACAGGTAAGAACATATAAACAATTCTGTAATCTGAGACATAGAAAAGGGTGTAGACGAAACAGCCGAACTACTGCCCGGAACACCAATTTATTGGGAAGGAAGGCAACTCTTGAAAAAAAAATTATTGACTGTAAATAATTTTTAGCATTGCTAAAATATGCTGTGAAGCTGTCAAGGAATTTTCCAGATTTGGATATTTTACTGCAAAATTACCAGCACATCAACATCAAACAAAATTAACACTAGACAACATGATTTGTATGGTATATATATGTATCTGTTTCCACACTAGAGAAATAAGATTTCATATGTGTGAGTAGAAATAGATCTATCTATACACCATCAATATGTGTTGCTCTTACATGGATGTGTAAATGAAAAACCTTGAAATGAAATTATCAAAACAGTATTAGAAATAACAATAACTAAATCCAAGGGAATATTAAAGTAAAACTATGTTATAAGTCATGGCTCTGTACTACACAGGAAATTGTGTGTGATCAACATTCCCTCTTCATAGAAAACGGAGTTATTGCCCTTAATTATATTCCATTAAAATACATTTTTCACTAAGCTTGAAAGAATTCATGTCATCTTATTTCAGGTTAATCTCCTATGTTTATTAGCAAAAACATTTAAATGCAATTTTACATAAAATCAGAAAAGTTCATCCAATAACTGTACTGTGAATAGAAAGAAACTTGTATAAACCTTTCTGAACCCTGAGATTTGATTTTTTGATTTTTCCTTTATAAATAACAGCAGATGAATATATCTACCCTTCTGGTGCTTCTTAAATTGCATTATTTATAATGGTAAACCTACTTGCCAATTCTCTACACTTATTCCAGTACATTTACCAAGTCATTCAGAAATATTATTCCAATAGTGATTAAAACAACATACAGTCAAACATGTCCATCAAGGCCACTCATTGGAGAAAAGTGGCCTTTATACACAGGTGATCTTTATATAGAGGTTTACTAAATATACATTGTATTACATAGGAAACCACAAAAGTGGCCTTTATAGACAGGTGGCCTTATGACAAGTTTGACTGTATGGATTATTCATACCAATTAGTACTTTTAGAAACAAATTGTTTATTCAATAGTTTGAAATTAATAACTGTATCAATTTATTTTCCTTTCATTTTACACTAGTGAGGCTATTATTTATAATTAAGCTTAAGCTCTCCTTTCCTTTTTCATTTTTTTTTTTAATCTCACATCTGTTTTCGACAACCTTTAAGACTATACATTAATATTCCACACCATAATTTTATGGTTACTTTCAGTTAGTGATCAGGCCACACACATTTTGAAATGCCTTCAACAGCTAGACTTGCAGAGTATTGGGATTCACCATTGAACGAGTTGTTTCTAGTAGCCTTCCTCTCTATACATGTAGACACATCTCAACCTTAACACACACAGCAATTCTTTCATTTTGAGTATTTTAGTGCCACAATCTTCTCTATATTGAAGGAACGCCATTATGATCAAATAAATAAAATCTCATTAGGTAACTCTGGCTCTATCTGAATTTTATCTCCTGGTTATTGATGTGTCATCACCTCATGATTACTATCTACTACCCACGCAAAACCAAAAACACTACCAAATTACACACACTTGTATGTGTATCCCAATACATAGATACATCTAACACAGTATAATTAAGTCTTCCCAAGTGACTCAAAATTTTTACCGATCTGCGAACAGGTCCAGTCGACAGCCTGAAGAAACTGTGTAATTGATCTTGAGACATACTTCATAGCATTATATATCAAGGGAGGTAACAAGGTTAGGTATCAAAATTGTGTACCAAATCACTTACTTAGTGTTTTTGTTACCTTAATACAAAATCTCTGTGACTAATAGAGAATACAAACAGAAAGAACCAAGAATATCTAGACATTCTTTACAAGAATAAGCAGCGTACTTTTCTGGAAAGTCAACAAAAAGCATGTTACCTATGAATCCTTTATAAAAAACATAAAATTGTCCAAACTAGATCACTTCTCAGATTTTACAACCACAATGAAAGTAATTTATAGAATTATAGAAAAGGGAAAAAAAGGAAAAAGAAGTATACACATTCAGGTTTCTACCAATATTTTTCATACAAATATGGTATCATATATTGGGCTACATCTTGTGGGATTTTAACAACAGGGACATTGGTAGGTACCATGTTACTGCCTACCTTCAATCACAGACACCAGCATGTGTATGATACTCCTTCAATTGAAGTAACCATACCACCAAACATCTTGAACTCGGATGACCAAGACAGACAGTAACAATCTGAATTTAGCTCTTAGTGAGCTGTCACGACCGTTGTGAATTTAAATGTTTTTCAATTTTACATTTACAAAGTAGCATCATTATTCATTTAACACATATTGATAGTACCAGAAAGTTCTCGTTTTGTTAAAAACATTCAGTGGGTAAGAAAAAGCTAAGACACATGGATATGACATCAGCTATCTTAACTTAAATACCAGTATAAATAAGCTCCCCTCCCCCGATGAATGAATATTGACAAAACGTAGAGGATGGGCTTATTGGTGAGCACAAGAGTCCACTATCTTAGATTATGATTAAATAAACATATGTTTTTAAACATTTTAAAATTTCTGGTGTTTGGTCTTATTGTATATAACCCTCCTATTCCTGGAAGTAAACAAAAAGTAGGGTTTTACATGTACACTGTAGTTGCCGGAACAGGCTTATTTGCTGTAAGTAAATCTGATACCTCTACTGATTCAGCATTAGGAACTCTATAAATATATGAACATCTAGACAAATTATAACTGAAAATGCTTACCACATAAAAATTTAATCTTTTTACTAAAGTTAGAGAAATTATTATTTATAATCAGAATAAATTAAAACTGTTTGTTTTCCAATCTTGAAACTTCTTTCAAATTGAAAATCCACAAAACAAATAAAGCCACTTAATTTGTACAAAAACAAAAAGTAAAGGACTTTTGAAAAAAAATTTAGAATTCAAAATGCATGGTTTTATGAAATACATTATAACATTTTAAAAATTTAGAATTCAAAATGCGTTATTTTATCAAATACATTTTTTGTTTACAATTTTGAAACTATGTACTAACCAAAAAATTATAATCCATGTACACCATTGTATACGGCAAAACTTCAAATATAATCATACGAGAGCTCGAGAATCTGAGAAAAATAAACTTAATTTTGGGCGAAACCAACTGATACAACTTAAAAGCAAATACATTATAGTATTCTATTTTGTATCAGACATGTCTATAATTCCCAGCCATTTACATTAAACCTTCCATACATAAATATCATTATCACTTCTATAGTATCATTACTGATACAGAACATAACAGCGTAATTCATACTTAATTGATTGTAGTTTGAGAGAGCACATTCCTACCAATACTTTGCAAAAAATGGTGTTTGATATCAAAATCCATTGCACTGAAGTCAGTTTGGAATTCTGATATCTAAACAATAAAAACATGAGTAGTTCATGCAGTATTTAAAATACTGATATATTTTCCAGTAATAAATACCCATGCAGATTATCACTGAAACATTATTTTCTGTGTGTACTTATACAATATACAAACGATGAAATCTACAACATTGTGATAGTCATCTGATTTGCCAAAAAATTTAACAAAATACCTCCTTATTAGGAAGCAGGATAACATTATGTACAGTGAAACAAAAAATCTCAAATTTTGTCACTCAATGCATTGTATCAATGGCACAAATTTGTATTTAATCACTACAATTGTGAATTTAACTTGTCATATGACATGTACATATATACATACACTTTTAAAATGAAATATGATTTAATAACGTAGTACATATTTGATTTTGATTTGTTGACTTTGACAAAAGATATACACCCAGTTTAACAATAATCATGGCTTTTTCAAGATCTGTCACAGCTGGTATATACAACTAAATGAAATATAAAACGCTATTTTCATGAATGATTTAAGTTTATAACATACACACTCTATTTTTCCCCCAAACTTCACACTCACACTGCCAACTTTGCTAGGATTAACTGTATTTCAAGCTTTGGCACTTTTGTTCAGAAATACCATAACTTTAACAGTAGGATTGTATCACTGCTTTACATATATATGGAGCATTACCTAATTGTAATAGGTTACTCTATACTGGGAATCTTAAGCTCATGTTTGACTTTTGCCCTTACATAATTTGTCCTTTAACATAAAGGATGATAGTAAAAGGTGGGCTATTTGATGTAACACTGAGCAAAATTGAAAGTTTTATTTGCTGGCAGAAACAGTCTCGGACAAATGTTTCCTTTTTTACAGTAACTCAATCAATCATAAGGCCAAACAAAAAAATATATACGTTTTGAAAGCACCTTTCACAATCATCATTCTACACTTCAATTGTGTTACAATTACAATTTCCTCTGTCTACAAAACACAGTGGTGATCAATTATTTTACTCTGACAATGCTACCAGAAGAATTGCGAAACTAGACATATGACAACAGTAGACTGTCCAGAGTAGTAAATTATTAAAATTACATTCATGATAAAACCATGAAATAAAAACTGATCGCAGCAATCTATCTTAATTCCAAGTCAATGTCAAGTCTCGTATAATATTATATTACTTCCTTGTAACTTGAAAAATAAAAGAAAGAAAAATTGCAAACATCCATGTTACTTTGTTCAGTAACATTGACATTTATATGTAAATGTCTTGTCATAGCAGAAAATTGCAAAACATTCAAATCTCATTCAGCCTGTGTCCTGATTATTTTTATCATAAACTGGGAGATATGTATCAAAATAACATTGATTTTGTCTTTATATTTACACATCAGACACAGCTACACACATAACATAACAAACACACTTCAAACAATGCGGGTAAGTCTACATTTTGCATTTCTTTTTAAGACCAAAATTAAAACCCAATTGCAGAAGTCCCAAAAACTCAAACCATACAAATATACACTCTTAAATGTTTCCATTTATTCACACAGCTCTATAAATATGAGTCTAAGTCCGAATACACACCACTTAGTTGTATGTTATTAATGACAACTAAATGAAAATTTATATAACAAGTAACCACTGGAATGCTGATTAACCACAAATACAAAATGATAAAACACTCCAAATGACGCTCCGAATAATATCACAGTGTAGCTGGTGTAACTGTCTCACTCCAAGTCATGTATTGAAGACCATATGTCCATTTGTTTGTACAGTTGAATTAACCCCCATACTATAGGACTTGTCTGCAGAACCATTGATAAATTTTTTGTACTTCAAATATATTAAGCAAGGCCATTGAAAAGCCATGCTCATTTTAGGTTCAGCTTTTGTACATGCCAGAATCATAAAAAATATCTGTAAGTAAGGCAGGAGAAACAGCACAAACCACACAACCATTGGAACGTCTATGATATGGTGCCATGCTGATCCTGTACTGGTTATCTCCCCTTTCTCAACATCAACTGGTTCTGCCTTTTTAATTTCTCCTTTATGGTTGAAAACGGCCTCGACCTGGACAGGTTTGTGGTAGGTGTTTATGTGTTCTAGGGCAAACTGGTTGTAGTGTTCACTAATTTCAAACAAATAATACAGCACAGAAAATGAACCAGCTAGGAAGAAAACAACCATCAACCAGGCAATCCTCTGTCTGAATTTCATCCTTGGTTGCTTTACATCTAACGGTGCAATAATGAAAACATCAGCCCATCAGTGATGTGATCTGCAATGTATAGAAATTAGGAATTTGATATCATCAAAATCTACATACCAACTCTAGTTATTTAGGAGACTTCAAGTTTTATCCAATTTCAGCTATAAATCATCTGTAGACTGTCTGAAAATTCAATTTAACTACAATAAAATGCAGTATAAATAGGCTGAAATTACAAGGTATCAGAGAGTGAAAAGGTTTATTTGTATTTTAAACACTTTTCTGAGTCTTGAAGTTTTTGATTCCCATCCCATCCCAATATGCAAATTCCCAAAAATATCACATCATTACAGCTTAGCATTTTTCTACATTGGAATTTTAAAATATGAATACAACCAATTTATACAATGAAGTATGAAAAATATTGCAAAGCAAATTGTTAGAGTATTTAAAAGCAAGAGAGAATAGCACAGCAATACTTGATTCCTGGATCTAGATCTGAACTTGTGGAATTTTGAAATATTGAATTAACTGATTAAGTTAGTTTTATATGGTTAGGGGTCTAAATTTGTTCTTGTTACATATCTTCATCATTAACTGTTTCAACCTGTTAAGATAATAATATTTACAGTATTTCTTGTTAGGTATCTGTTAAGAAACAATCTGGTCTTCCACACTGGACTCTAAATGTAAAGAGTTATCAATCTAATTGGATGGATTAATAAATGTATGATCTGCCCCACTGGGACGGATTTCAATCTCAAATTGTGATCTTTAATACTCAAGACGATCTGGCCGTACATATCTATGGAGACTTTATGGGAGCTGGAGGTGAAATAAGAGAAGCACCTGATGGACTGCTGGCCTGTAGAGTTGACCATGGCCAACTTCCCAACATATTTCAATAATTATAAATGCAAGCTCCTTAAATCTCATTAATGGCTTCATTGTCAGTTTTAGTTTGCACTTGATATAAATATGACGCTTTAAATCGGCTACACAGGACGGTATTTTAACCATGGAATGTGGAGGTAAGAAAATAGAGGTTGAAAAATTTGCAATTTCAACAGGCTGAATTCGATTTGATTTTGATTTGCTAGTATACATAATCTAAATGAGGCTGCATATACATTGTTTCATATGCCTATGTTACTCCATCCTCCTTTATGATCATCATATATAATTTTGTCCGATTGAAAACAGTTATCATGTATATGTTGAGACGTACGACTCACGATACCCGTACCAGTCTATGTCTGGTGTCAGGACCATAATAAACATCTAACATAACCATGGGCTGCCACGTCACCCACTAGCCTTTGCAAGTTAGCACACAAAAACTATATCATTTAGACATATAAGTTACCTATGGAAATGTTAATCAATGACAGAAAGCTTGAAAAGTTTGTTTACAATACACCAAAATCTTGGGGTAACAGTCCATGTCATGTGCTGACGGTTGCGGCGTAACTAATCTGTAAATGGGAAACGGACACGGAACTCTTTTTATTCCGTAATTGTAAGACTGTAATATTAAACTTATTTTCAAATGGAAAACAACAAATGTCAAAAAAAAGTATTTGTGATAAAACTATTAATCATAGTTGCAATAATTAAAACATTGTTCCGTCGTATAATGAATAGAGCAAGAATTTTTAGTACGAATTCAGGATGTAAACTATGAAATTGTATATCTATTTGTGTATCAACAACATAACTTACTACATAAGATATTATCAAAGACAGAGATACCGTGTAGGTCTTAGTCCGTTATATTGTGAAATAGGTGCACATGACCAATTTGAGTCACAATCTGAAATCTTCGCCAATGTTGTAGTCTTTAATTAGTCATTAATTAATTATAAATTATCTATTTGATATTTGGCAAAGCACGCGAGTTCTCTGTCAAACTCACGATTTCTGACTTTAGAAACAAGTCAGTAACATTAAGAAATGATTGTTGCTGAACTATCGTTCATATAAAATAATTCTGGGAGATGACGATGAATTATTCCCTTCATCATTTTTTTCAGACGTAGGAAATTTGCCGCCAAGTAAAACACTCAAAAGTCAAATTGGTCATTTTTCTGATGAAGGTGACAGTGTGACACACACTACAGTGTTGTCGCAGTGTCGCCAACCTCTACTCATCTAATATCTGGTAAAAGTCCTCCAAAATCGAGGGTGACAGGGCCATTTAGGAAAAAAATACCTTATAATCAATTCTATTGTATAATTATTACATCATTATGTATTCAGATGATGTTCTGTGTCATATCTAAACAAAACTGACTATGATAGCTCCAAAAACTAATTTTGAAGGAAATATGAAATAATCACTGACGCTGAGAGATAACAACTTCTGTATAAATATAAACTTTATTTATTTTACAACAAGTGCGAAACAAGTTATGTCAGCTTAAACTAATCATTCTTGTTGGCCCGGATGTAAGCGCGCGAGGGGCCTTATCATGAGAAGAAACCGGAGTACCCGGGGAAAACCCACGTGGTCGGGCAGGTCACGTCCGTTCCGGGAATCGAACCCCGGTCGGCTAGGTGAAAGGTGAGTGCGTTAACACTGCGCCACCCGACCACCCAGCTACGGCCTATATGACAGACCTTGACCAAATAACTCGGCCTATATGACAGACCTTGACCTAATAACTCGGGCAGTTTAAATATGCTGCATATTTCAATTTGGAAATTAGATGTAGTTATATGCATAATTATCTGAAAATACAAAAACGTGTGTAACAGATGTCATTACACTTATTCCAATGCCTCCGCTAGGATTCGAACTCAGATTTCATTGTTTACTATTCTGACACTCAACCGGTCGAGCTAAAGAGAAGCGTTCTAACATTAAGCGGTATGATGTGTGTACTGCAGCCAGTAGGAATAAAATTATTCATCATCATCATCATCATCATCATCATCATCATCATCGTCATAATCATTATCATCATCATCATCATCATCATCATCATCATCATCATCATCATCATCATCGATAACAAAATTGAATTATGAAACCATGGAGTTCAAGTGGGTAGGACTAAATGTAGTTTTCTCATTTGATTTGAACAAGTGCGTCACAATTATCCTCGATGCCCATTATATTATAGTTATAATTTGAAGGTTTGTTTTTCATAGAAAATCATATCCGGATATATGGTTCGTGGCCATACATTTCAAATTAAATAGTCATGATGTGTGTAATGATCATGGTCCTTGACGTACTTGACTTTGCCATAGCGGAGAATCAAGCGTTAATGTGATCTGGTTTACATGTTATTGAGTTCCGGGTGTGGGCCAGTTTATACCTGTGTGATCAGACAAGGTGGGCAAATGACTGTGTATCGGTAAGGTCTCCCGGCACAATGAAACGCGTTGGATACTGGATTAGCGAAAAGAAGGCAAAGAGCCTTAATTTGGAGGATCAGAAGGAAGTTTTCAGGTATATATAATTATCTGTCATTTCTTTCATTTGTTAAACCAGTTTCACTTAACTCAGTATTTGCAAAGTGCATTATAAAGTAAACAGTTCTAGATATAAAAAAAAAACTGGGTCAAGTTCGGTGTTTGTTTACATTCACCAATATAAAAGTTGTCTAGGCGTGAACACGTGTTATGTCTCTAGCCGCTGGTGGATGGACTATAAACAGCGTACATTGATCAATAGCAAATAGATCTACATAAATGGAAATGTACATACTGATTCATTTGCAGTTTATCTCGGTCATAAACTTACAGGTCTAGGTAGACGTTTATCAGCTTCTTTTCAGTATTCAACGACATTATGTGACACACATTCTGTACAAATCTAAAACCGAAATAACAAATCTCCTGTAACTTTTTCTTTATAGAATTAAAGTACATGTCTGATATATGTTAAACTTTTTTTCAGTTTTATTTCCTAATTGTTATAGTAAGCATATGATGCACATTATATCATTATTTTTTACCTTTCCTTACAAGGTTATGTGTAATGGAAGTCATTATGTAAGCTATGTGCTTATATATGTGTGCAGTATACCTGCAAATAAACATTTCAAGTGATATTTGATAGAGGACCAAGTCTATGGGAGAAAATAGGCAGGTTTTTCCTATTACAAATAACACTAGTCGAATCATATAGTATCAAACAAACAAAACCTGTTGATAAAGGTTTTAATTAGTTATACGACTTACAAGAAAAATTACTCCAATCAAATTGAAATACAATACAAAAACTTATAAAAATAAAAATTTTCCGTATAAAAATCTAATCATGATGAAATCCAGATAGAGCCAGGTTGGGGAAACAAGAAAGAATAATTTATAGATTTCAAATATGCAGGGTTTTTATAGATAAATATGCTTACAAAACATGAAATAAATATTCTTTCATATGATTTGGTTTAGGTATACATGTATATAGCTCACAGATCATCATTCACATTTCGTGCTTATGTTCTAAAGGACAAATATTGCAGACATGTGATCAAGTTGTCTTACATTTTATCTTTTATATCAAAATTGATACTTACAAATTAAACATTATACAAATGTAGATACCGGTTTAGGTTTGTGATAAAACATTTCCCTTTCCACTTGTTAGATACTAATATTTTCAAAGCAAATTTTTATGTTGATAATAGGATTAAACAAATAGACATTTAACTTAAAGCTTCACAATGTGTCGCTATAAGTTGCTAAAACTGTTGGTTTCCTGTACACGTGCTATGAGTGAAATGCATAGGAGAAATAAAGATAATTTTTTAAAACAACTTCATGGTTGAGTGATTTCAATTAAGGTCATTGACCAACACTATAAACAAACTACAGGTGGAGGTCAATAGCCAGCATGGATCAGTTTTCTTTATCAGAATCTAATAGGTACATTGACCTTGTTTTTCATTCAAATTTATAGAAACTTGGTAATGATAACCTAAATCCTCAACAATGCTGTTGCGAGGATCTGTTTTATTCAAACTGATCCTGTGTTGAATTTCATTCTTAGGGAATGAAAACTGAAAAATAAATTGAGGATGACATTAAAGAAGAATTGCTGGTTGTCAGTGTGACTTTGTTTGTTAGTCATTTTCTACCTGTAATTAAGATATGTGAGCCATCCGCACAGATATTTATTCTAGTACAATAAAAAAAAATGATTACCTAAATGTGAAGTCACAGTTAACTCAAAAAGCCCATGTCAGCAAAAAGGCTGCTGTTCAATGAAATAATTAAAAAAAAAAGTGCCTTTTCATTGTCTTGATATAGAGAAAGACCTAATTAATAAGTATTTTAGCCCACCCACACCCACTCCCCTTGGTATTAATCCTTGATATTAAGATGGACATAATATGTTAACCACTGGACTTATTGTTGTATAACAAGCTGATTCCTGATATTATGAAAGATGTAATATGTTAACCACTGGGCTTATTGGTGGATTAGTATTGTCATGCTGAAAGCATACATGAAAAAATCAGATAAAAGTTGTTTCTTGGTTTCAATGTTGATCATACTTTATGTATATTGTTAGCATTCAGTCAGATGTATTTTATACATAATGAAAGAATTTTCGTTATAGATTTGTCACTGAATTGTCCTACAAGTTCTAACACAAAAAATAGCTATATAATAAAAATATTAACATTTTAACACTGTGTCACTTAGTTATAAAACCTACAAGTATTTATTGTACAAATTAACCATTAATATACATTTTTTCAATGTTGATTTAGTCTATGATTACAAATATATTATACACACATCTGCTAACTGTTCGTGTACACAGTTATATGAACCTCTAATGTATCCCACACTACTCAATTTTATCATGATACACACTGTGACACAGACACGTTTTTGTTTTTTTAAATGTTGTACATAGTTTGCAACACCTCCATGTATCAAAATCTGTGTTAACTCTCTGATTATTTTTCTGACCTTATTTTATCCATGGCACGACAGACTGACTATAGTCAGACTCAGAAATATTTTCTACAGTAGTTTGTTTACTGCCTTTACAACGTTAATCTTTATGTGTATTGGTGTATGGTGTACGCTAAGAAAGACAACGACATCTTAATCAGCTATAATGTAGACTAAGGCACTATGTAACTTGACTTATATTTTACAGTCTTTAATTATGATTATATATTCGTAACTACAATATACAACAGTTTGTTGGTTAATCTTTCAAGTCAATGCCTGTCTCTTTAAATTGTGTGAATGGATGATAAATTATATATACAAATCTGTGTCTAAATTTACGTTTACATATATAAATAGTAAGATTGTATTTTACTTTGAAGGAATTTGAAAATGTAACAGAATATGTGCACTTCAAATTTAAAAGGATTTTAAGAGTAATTACAATAGAAGTTGGAACTGAATTTGGTGTAAAATAAGACTTTGATATGTATTTATATATACACGTGACAAGGCCAGCATGGCAACACGCTAACAGCAGACTATTGAACCAAATTTCTTTTTCTTGGTCAGCTGACGTGTAATATGTGGTTCTTTCCTTCACTTCATTCTAGATGTCTTGAAGTATTGATGGACCAAAAAAAGTCCCCTTGCATCAGGAAAATGATTCAGAAGGTTATAATAGATAATATTTAAAATATGTTGATAAAATCAAACGTTATAATACTGTAATTGTATAGACAGACTGGTACAGTCATAAAATCTAACAACATTTTTAAAAGCTATTTAAAAATATCAAACTTTGTGTCATAACTTAATTTTTTGAATATTGTCTAAATGTCTTACTTTTCCATGTACATGTATCAATATTAATTGTGCAAATTTCTAAAGCCGGTTCAGACACAAAGACAGGGTGGGCTAATTAGCAATTGTACAAAACAATGAAATAGTAGATGGTTGGGTTTGCGGAATTAGCTTAAAGCTTGCTGAATATATACAGTTATTCTGTAGAAATGAAATTTGTGTAACAGAAAATTACATTATCAAAACAAAGTTCACTTAGGATAACAATTTTGTTTCCCAGAGTTATACCCCTTCTTTAGACTCAACTTTAGAAACAAAATTTTGTTTTCTTTTTTACATTCCCTTGAATTTTTTTATATTATTGAGATAAAACATTCGGAAACTTGGCTGTGGCTAGAACCATTAAAGTCATATTTTAATAATACAGTATCTCATTATGATGGTTTTTACCTCAGAATCGCTGTATTATATTCTTTCTGAAGGTAGAACAGCAACAACATTCATCAATAATGAACACACAATTACAATGATTTTGGTTCTTTTGTTTCAGAAATGCTGGCATTGAGTTGATTAAGGTAAGTTTCTGTAGTAAAACCAAGTAAAGCTACTGAAACATATTTACTGCCTGTGGAGATCAAATCAATTTAATGGATTATTTGACAGGCTGAAATGTACACCTAATTATATCTATAAATTGATGAATTATCAGCTAATACTAAATTTGAAGGGAGACAACTTTTGTTCATGTCATTAGTATAGAGTACAAAGTAATATATCAGTTGTTTGGTTTTTTACTCAAATATTGAGGTTAGTTTAGGTATAGAGGATGAGACAAAGCTGAGACTACCTATTGATCTGCTCGTCCTACAATTTTTCACTGACTGACACTAACAACCAGGTAACAGTTCTCTTTCACCAGGCAACTTTTGCAACATCATGAAAGGTAAAGAGAATACATGGTCATTGTCTTTCCTAAAATATAAGCTGTATTTTGGCAAGGGTGAAGAAAGAAAAAAGTGGAGTCTGACTAAGTGAACCTAGATCCAGTGTTTAAGTGCTAGATTTGTGTTCAGAATTCAAATGTCATTAAACGGGAATATACAACAGTTCTAAAATAAACATTCATATGGGACTCTACATTTTATCAACATTTATAAATGTAAATATATTTGGATTCCCCTAATGACCTAAGAGTCTGATAACCTATTTCAATTATGTTTACTCCCATGTTCACATTTCAAACAACAGAAGGAACCAGAAATAGATTCCAAGAGCTGGCTTTGGTGATCTTGAATGTATGCACTGGTACATTAACAATAATCGGAAGTAAGGTTATTGATTCCGATCTAACAGTACTGGACAGCCATTCATGTCAAGAGTCATGTGTACAATACAAATGGTCTTGATGATAAGCTAACACATTTACTGGCGGTCAATATTACATCATTGTACAAGTTTATTTGGTTGGGTATAACAAATTTATCTTATTCCTCCAAATGGTTTAGGATCGAATCAGAAATTTCAATTATTGTTAATTTATGTTTAATTTAAATGTTTTTTTATCTAGGACTTTATGGGTTAATTTCAAAACAAGAAAAATGTTTTCTTTCACCAGACATGTAATGCTTGCAACTACCATTAATGCTCAACTGCATAATGGGCAAACTTGCGTCATGGACTATCTACCATCTGTTGTATCTTAAGTCAGCCTTTCCTTTAAACCCAAACATATATCTTCATATTCATCAAGGTGTATGCTGGGATGGAAGCCTTCATATATATGGTTGTTTCAACAAATGACCTTGACCCACTTGCTTGACTACAAAAGTCAAATGTGTTAAAATCTTCAAACAGCTTCTACTAAAACTGTTACATAGATCAGGGTCTTTATTCACATGAATGACCTTGACCTTTTTTCAAGGTCACTGGTTAGATGTCAAATGTGTTGACTAAGATTTCAAATAACCTGTTTTCAATAAGGCATCAAATGGCACTGCAAGGTCAAGATATTTTATGGGTAGCATTCTTGGTGAAAGAGCTTTCAAGCCTACTCAAGTGAAGGACATTGACTCAAATTCAAAGAGTCAAATATATTAAAATCTGCAAACAAGTATGACCTTTCATTATTGATATAATGTTGTTGATATGAATATTAATGTGAATTTTTATATACATGAACATAATTTTTATTTCCTAGTCCCTGGAATTATGTCATAAGTATACATATATCTGTAAATGTTGATGTAAGAAAAACTTTAAGCCCAGGTTGTTATCTAAAGGTAATATATATACATCATGTACATTTGTTTATATTACAGCTCAGTATATTGCCACACTTCAATGTGTTTTGAAACAGTGAAAAAAAGATAACGTCATTCCATTTATAGGAATAAAAAAAAACAATGGCGTCTCGTTTTGGCACCTACGCCACCAAATATCTGGTCTGTATACTGGTATATAGATTATCAGTACACTTAATCTTGTCTTGTGAAATAATAGTAATTGCGTGCTTTAATGGGTATGGATTTAAGATCTGTTTGGTGTTGAATACTTATATATTTATGAACAGTAGTCGTGGGTGGATCAGCAATGAGATTTCCATGGGATCACGAAACACTGTAAATGATATATATAAATATTCATTATTACATAACACATAGGTTGGAAATCTGGATAGTATTATATACCTTCAAAGTTTTACACTTACTAAAGTGTCTTTTGAAAATAAAATAAAAGGAAAAAATTGAAATTAATATATCAAATATACATATATATCAAATGTCATATTTTATAGGTATTTAAATTCTTCAGTTGTATGGCTAAAAAATGTGCGTCTTTGAAATAAAAATATAATGTTTAGAAATAAAAAAGGAAAGATTTTATTGGTGTTAGGTTAAGTTATTCTTTGAAATAACCTTTTGAAAACTTAAAGATTTTTGTTTTTGATCATAGACTAATAGAATTTAAAGGTTGTATCCACACTCTCTGCAGGCCAGTCCACCTTGGTACTTTTTCTTTTCCAACTGATATTATATGTGAAAGTTTACGGTTTGAAATTAGTAAATTTCAAAGTTGAAAAAATTGAAGTATAGACTAATTGATCAAGAAAAATAGAAAAGTGCAAAATGGATATGTATTCATTTTTTTTTACAGCTCATTAAACAATTCAGTATATTGAATTTAAAGAAAGAATGCTTTGCATGATCAATATATCAAAATACTTTCGTTCGAGATGAACTAGTCTATGATTTGGAAGCCAACATGTGGTCACACATATATACTAGGTGGAGAGGAAAGCACTTATCTGTGGAACTTTGAATAGTTTCAAATTTATGAAATGTATTTCCCTGCCAGGGAAGGATGTAAATATCAGCTCAAACAGGCCAAGATAGTTGTTATAAGATTTGTCAGCTTAATCACTCAAAAGTTGATTTTTTTTTCACAAAGATTTCTGTTTCCCACATCCAATGATTTGAAATTATTTTTTTTAAAACAAGATGGAGAAGTCCCAATTGTAAAGATTTTATGTAATTGATTAAACTTTTTAGAAATATTACTGATAATTTTCTGTGATGTTAAGCTGGGGTTACTATAAATCAAACCAAGCTTGGTGGTTGAGAGCAGATAAGGCAGAATGTCTGTAAAATTTGTTTCAGTGTTAGACATGTATTTAATATGGCAAGTCTGTTAATTCTGTGTGGGCACTTTATACAGGTATATATAACAGAGAAATTATACTAGGCTTGATTTAAAAGTCAGAACAAATAAATGAGCATTTGATAAAATATACATTTGACACTATTTTTGTGAAAGATTAAGACAGAGCTGGTAATTCACAAAGGTGTCAGTTGTCAGTCCCTTAGTGTGCAATAAGTAATTGATGATTGTCGCATTTAGAGAGCTATGTTAGTGTAATATTTTACTTAAATAATCATTTTTCTCTAAACCAATACAAAAATACCAAATTTTTTGTCTTTTTTTTTTATATATGAAATCTGTTACATTTTTGTCCTATCTTGATCCTGGTAAAATCTGTTTCTGTTGTTGTTTCTATTGTTGTTGCTGTTGTTGTTGTTTCTGTTGATGTTGTTGTTGATGTTATTGTTTCTGTTGTTGTTGCTGTTTCTGTTGTTGTTGCTGTTATTGTTGTTTCTGTTGTTTCTGTTGTTGTTGCTGTTGTTGTTTCTGTTGTTGTTTCTGTTGTTGTTGCTGTTGTTGTTTCTGTTGTTGTTTCTGTTGTTGCTGTTGTTGTTGTTGTTTTGGTTGTTGTTTCTATTGTTGTTGCTGTTGTTGTTGCTGTTGTTGTTGCTTTGTTGTTTCTGTTGCTGTTTCCGCTATTTCTGTTGTTTCTGTTGTTGTTTCGGTTGTTGTTGTTTCTATTGTTGTTTCTATTGTTGTTGCTGTTGTTGTTTCTGTTGTTGTTGCTGTTGTTGTTGATGTTGTTGTTTCTGTTGTTGCTGTTGTTGTTGCTGTTGTTTCTGTTGTTGCTGTTGTTGTTTCTGTTATTTCTGTTGTTGTTGCTGTTGTTGTTGCTGGTGTTGTTTCTGTTGTTGTTTCTGTTGTTGTTTCTGTTGTTGCTGTTGTTGTTTCTGTTGTTGCTGTTGTTGTTTCTGTTGTTGTTGATGCTGTTGTTGATGTTATTGTTTCTGTTGTTGTTTCTGTTGTTGCTGTTGTTGTTTCTGTTGTTGTTGATGCTGTTGTTGATGTTATTGTTTCTGTTGTTGTTTCTGTTGTTGCTGTTGTTGTTGCTGCTGTTTCTGTTGTTGTTGCTGTTATTGTTGTTTCTGTTGTTGTTTCTGTTGTTGTTGCTGTTGTTGTTTCTGTTGTTGCTGTTGTTTCTGTTGTTGTTTCGGTTGTTGCTGTTGTTGTTGCTGTTGTTGTTGTTGTTTTGGTTGTTGTTTCTATTGTTTTTGCTGTTGTTGTTGCTGTTGTTGTTTCTGTTGTTGTTGCTGTTGTTGTTGCTGTTGTTGTTGCTGTTGTCATTGCTGTTGTTGTTGCTCTGTTGTTTCTGTTGCTGTTTCCGCTATTTCTGTTGTTTCTGTTGTTGTTTCTGTTGTTGTTTCTATTGTTGTTTCTATTGTTGTTGCTGTTGTTGTTTCTGTTGTTGTTGCTGTTGTTGTTGATGTTGTTTCTGTTGTTGCTGTTGTTGTTGCTGTTGTTTCTGTTGTTGTTTCTGTTGTTGTTTCTGTTGTTTCTGTTGTTGTTGTTGTTGTTGTTGTTGTTGTATCGGTTGTTGTTGCTGTTGTTGTTTCTGTTGTTGTTTCTGTGGTTTCTGTTGTTTCTGTTGTTGTTTCTGTTGTTGTTTCTGTTGTTGTTGCTGCTGTTGTTGCTGTTGTTTAATCTGTTGTCGTTGCTGTTGTTTCTGTTGTTGTTTCGGTTGTTGTTGCTGTTGCTGTTGCTGCTGTTGTTGTTGTTGTTTCGGTTGTTGTTTCTATTGTTGTTGCTGTTGTTGTTGCTGTTGTTGTTTCTGTTGGTGGTCCTGTATCACTTCCTATGTACAAATTTGGCTTGAAAAATAAAGATTGTAACTTTTTCCAGAAAAAGCTAACCAGATAAAATCATTATGAAGATTAATGGAATCTTTCTTGGTTTGGCCTAAATGTACAGATATTGACAAAACCAGCAAGCTTGTGATGTGTTATAGATTTTCGGTGTTAGTAGACTTGAATACTGCCAAAATCAGTGCCAAATGGGTGAAGCGTGTGGATGTAATATTTCTTTATTTGTAATATATACCTTCCATCATTACTTAAAATCAGTGATATTGATTTACAAAATTAGATTTACTTAAAAATTCATAAAATGTAGCAGTATTGAATTAAAGAAACACTGAAAAATGATTGAAAATATGAAAAATGCTTGAACAAAGAGATTTTTTATTACAAATTTCTGTAAAATATGACTGAAAGTGTTTGTGATTGCATATTTTACAGTTAGATATACATCTCCCACTGGAAGAACAGGGACCATTTGATCTCATCCTGCACAAATTTACTGGTCTGATGGTAAAAGCAGAGGAAGGCGACACATCATCACACACTGTCTTACAGAATGTTAAGGTAAGGGATTTCATAGAGGTCAAGGTCACTGATAAATGCACTACCCGACAGAATATCAATGAAGATAATTTAGTAGAGAGCTTAAGATCAATGGTGAATGCACTGCCTTACAGAATGCCAAGGGAGATAATTGAGTAGAGAGGTCAAGGTCACTGCTTCAACCTAGCAAACTTATCTTTCCTTTGTTTTTATCACGTTAAAATCATCTGCAGCATTACATAAGTTAAATGTAATGGGAGAGATATTTGTACTAAAATATTTTAGTGTATACATATACTATAAAATTTTATGTTTTGTGAGGCTCATATTCCATGAATTTTCAAACATTATGAGGTATTTCTTGGGCAATCAATCAATTTCATGAATAGGTGTGTTTGATATCTGTTAATACTTAAATTTCAACAATCAATTTATTCATGATTTGTTGATTAAGAGTGCTCAGTATACAAATTATAGGTGTGAAATTTGATAGATATGGAAATCTAGGGGACCCAATCATTGCATTGGCATATGCTTTGATCTGTAAGTACATTTGCATTATATCAAAGATATGTAAGCATCTGTTGATTGGTGACCTAGGCAACACATACATGTCTGTCGATATTATGTTTACAAAGCTGTTTTTATCAATAAAAGAAACACCGCCCAGCTAATATCCTGCTGTGAATTTTATTGAGGTCCTTCATTCAGAAGTATACTTAAAACTGACTCCAGTACTAAATGTAAGGAATGGACTTACTCATCTAGCTTTCCCAACACTGGTTAGAGCTCAAGTTTATTAGATAAGCTGTTTACCTATAGACATATTTGTGTACACAATGTCTGGAGGCCATGATGGATGATGTATAACTTACCTCTTATTGATATGGAAGGTAGGTGTCACCACCAGTATACCACCCCCACATACACACACCTGTTATTGATATGGAAGGTAGGTGTCACCACCAGTATACCACCCCCACATACACACACCTGTTATTGATATGGAAGGTAGGTGTCACCACCAGTATACCACCCCCACATACACACACCTGTTATTGATATGGAATGTAGGTGTCACCACCAGTATACCACCCCCACATACACACACCTGTTATTGATATGTAAGGTAGGTGTCACCACCCCCACATACACACACCTGTTATTGATATGGAATGTAGGTGTCACCACCAGTATACCACCCCCACATACACACACCTGTTATTGATATGGAATGTAGGTGTCACCACCAGTATACCACCCCCACATACACACACCTGTTATTGATATGGAATGTAGGTGTCACCACCAGTATACCACCCCCACACATACACGCACCTGTTATTGATATGGAAGGTAGGTTTTGCCATCAGAATATCGCCCCCACATACACACACCTGTTATTGATATGGAAGCTAGGTTTTGCCATCAGAATATCGCCCCCGTGTGCATTCATCTCTCACTGAACTGCAGTTTAGTTGCCATTGTCACAATACTAATTGCATGAGTTGTATGCCCATTTCATTAAAAAATGTCTTGTTTTCATGCTCAACAAGAATAGATGTATAGGAGATTCAGAAGAAGGCTCCATTGGGTCACAATTGAGCTGTGAAAGCCTTTTTTTCCACCATTTTACACAATGTTTTAGCCAAAATATAATTGTATGTGTATCTGCAATCAAAAATTGCAAATTTTTCAAAGTCATTGAAGGTGGAAGTTTTTGAGCTCAAGGGAAACTTGTGTATACCTGTTTTGGATTTTGGATAGAGGCTCTCATTTATACCCACCATATTCACACCATGGAGGTTTTTCAAGGTTAAAGGTTAAAGGTTAAAGGTTACCTTTTAGACCACAGACCACTTTTGATATGAAAAAAAATTGTTTACAAGATATCATGCTGATCATGTACACCTTAACAAATTTGGCTCAGATTTCACATCAAAACATCACAACACCACATAATCAGTGGTCGTTGGTCAAGGTAAAGGTCAAAGTTCGCACATGATCACTTAGGAAGATAAGAGCATGTGGAGATTATATACCCTATGGACCCCTGAACTGATTTAGAATAATTACAAATACATACAGGATAAAAATGACAACTGACATTGTGACCCAGGGATGGGAGGGGGATGACTCTATGTTTATTGTGACATTTTAATCAATAAAAATCATCTGAATAGCTACGAAAGGTTGTGTCCTGTTTAACAAATGTTTACTTGTAATAAATCATAACATCTTGATGTGACACTTTTAATACATAAGCAGGTAGTTAAGTTATGATTGTTAATGTATCATATGCAGATATCTTCACTTATCCTTTTATAGACAATAACATATTTGGGATTAACATGATTTATCTCTGTTTGAGGAAGGTAGCTGGTAAGTAGTATAAACAAGAAATGAAATAAGAAATTATCAACATTTTGAAGGTAAATGGGGGAGATGATTTTTTAAAGAAACTTTATTCTCTAACCTTACAGCATAATTGTGAAGTCCTGGTTCAGCTAAGCATTCTCTCAGTCACATATTTGGAAGCTAAACATACTGTATAGTCAGTTATTGTCAGTTTGAGAGACCAGGGACGTCCCAGGAGAGACTTACAATTTGATTCAAATACAAAATTCTTCAATCTGAATACAGGATGATGTCTACTTTTTGGCAGATATATCTTTCAGTGTCAAGTTTCAATACATCTTTACAGATTTATCAGTGAAACTCCATCGTAATTCATAACAATCATAACCATTTGAAAGCAAATACATGCATTCAGTATCATGTGATCAGTCATCTGTATCACATACCGTTTAATCGGTTTAATCCTGTTTGTCCCAAAACTGAAAAAATCTGTGTCCTGTTTGTCCCAAAAACATTATGTACACAAATAGGGCAGTGTGTTGTTATAACATTTAGGGTACCTGTGTGTGTTGTTTTAACAGGTAAAAAATTTGTCCAAAATTTTATACACATGTAAAGCTATTTGAAACATTTTGAAAAAATCAAATACAAATATTATTATAACGTTAACTAATATATATGCATGTATGAATAATTAATATGAATTAAATAAAATAATTTAAATAGGATATTAGAAAGAAATGATTTTGTTAAAATATTCGCTGAGTCGCTGTTCTTCCACTACCACCACATCACATCGAGGACTGCTGGTTCAACGCCTTGGAGGACCTTGAAGACGTCGACCTACCCGTAGATACAATCACTGACTACGTCACCACCCAATGGATAGAAGGAGGCCGACAAGTTTGGAACCACTTTAACAACGATGGACACAGGACCACAAACAACTTGGAAGGATGGCATAGCAAACTCAAGAAAAAGATCCCACATGCACATCCAAGCATTTTCATATTCCTCAGAGAATTGAAAGACAATTACATTAACCGCCTACAACATGCTGCATGAGGACTGCCTGTGCCAAAGAGACGTCGCTACAGAATGCTAAATGACCGTCTTATCCAACTGAAAACTCTCCTACGAAACAACAACATCAATTACATCAATTACGGAGACAGAACCACATACCTGTTGCACATGGACTGATTTCGTTTTATTTTGAATTGTGTTAATTTATCGGTTTCATTTATTTCTATAGTTATGTCCTGAACTGTATAGTTGAACATAAAATGTTCACTATATCACATCCTTCCAAGTTAAATTTTGTTGAGAGTATAATTGATAATTATATAAAATGTACATTATATTATAGTGGTATGTAGTGCTAAATTTACCTGTATTTTAAATAAAACTAAGATTAATTGCTGGTTTGTTTTCTTAGCCATTACAGACTTATTCATACAAAATCCTGTTTGTCCAAAAAAATATTTTTACCTGATTTTTCAGTTTTGGGACAAACAGTATGACACCGTTTAATCTGTTTTGAGAGAATCAGTTGTAATTGTCCTAATATCCTTGGATAATTGGAGAGGTAACTAATAATGTTAGCAGTTTGTTATAGCAATTGCTTTAGAATCATGGATAATAGTTACAAAATTTCTTGTTTTTTCTAAAATACTGCTTCGCAAAATTGAGGAAATGATTTGTTTCCAGCAAAAATAATAGGATGTCAAAATAGATGTATGATATCGTACATTGCTACCTGTTCACCTGTTCGTTTATGTATTTGTGTTTTTCATTCATAGCAATTTAACAAACAGCAGAGATCTTTCAAATTATGGACTTAATGTGTTCTTTATATAGGCTGCTAAGTGTGCTTCGATTAGGACATCAAAGTTGTTGTACTCTCAATACAGTATTAACAAGATATTGACAACAGTGAACATGGAGAATACTGTGTTATTAGCATGAATAAGTCATATGCTACATCTTTATGAAAAGATACACTCATGTGGATTAATGTTTATAGCGATGTGAAAAGAAATCACGACTCACTCATCATGCATCATGGGACGTCTATACAAAAACCAGTTCTTATAATTGACCCTGTTGAATAGTACTGGCATTTACTGAAGCTTGAGATGATGTTCTGATGTTCGTGTGGTACAGTACTAATGAAATCTACTGCCTGTTAATCTGTGCCAGAACAAGTTATCTCGGTCCTGAATAAACTAGATTTTGTAATAAAATTTTAGCAAGGTGTAAACCCATATTGGATGGATGATTTTTCAGAATCTTAGCCAGATGCAGTCCGAGTCTCGGCTTAACTCTTGGTCATTGATAAGTTTAAGGATTTTTTTTTTCATACTGCAAAGGCCTGTTACCAGCAGTTTATCCATTAAAATTCTGGTTAACAAGAACACTGTTGAAATACAAAAAGATAACTTGACGTGATCTCAAAGCATCTTAAACCTGATAAATCCGTTTGTTTTCCCAGTTTTAACATGTCTGATATCTGTAGTGGAACAGAGATATGCTAAGAATCGCTGGAAAAACTGACAGTGTGTGATCATGAGACAATTAGATTTTATAGATAAACTATGATTTCTTGGTGTAAAATTAAAAATGGTGGCCTGGTATGAGTGCAGAATTTTGATAATTTTGAAAACTTCTTTTAATAGCTTTTTATTGACAGTAATTGAATACTGCAGAAATAAATGCATTTATACACAAAAATGAACTTTTCAGTTAATGAAATACAAATGTACCTAAGTTATCTGGGATGCTATAATGATTTAAGTAGAACTATTTTCACTTAATTTTTCACAGATGTTTTAGTTATTAAAAATTATTTGAATATTACTTTGAAACATGTGTATATAGCAGTTTTAATTTCATTTCTGTAGTATCATGCAGTACAGTCATGTAAAATTTAACTATTTGGACCTAATGTCTTTAGTACACACCGTAGACTGTTTATAAAAGATATAACAAATATGACAAGAATTGACTTAAAAATAATGAACAAGTAGACTTCTGTTCTAAAGTATCAAAGTCGGGTTTGTATACATGTGGTCCCAATGTTTTTATGGAGATATTTTTAAGTATGTGTATTGCACTGGCGTTTATTACAATATTCTGCTGTAACACTGCTGTGTTTAATTTATTACAAAAGCTTAAATAACATTTTTTAATTAAGGTATTTCTGTAATATTGTTATCATGGTTGTGTTCAGAATTTACAGAAAGTATAAGCTAATAATTTATCATTACTGAATTTTTAAAATTATTCCTATGAATGTCTGAAATTTCATTGAAACAATGTTGAATTCTCATAATTTAATCTCTAAGACACATCTATGAAGTGTTCTGTGAAAGCTGACCTTTAAAGCTCTATGTAAGTAATACATTTATTTATATATTATTGCATTTGACAAATGATTTTAACAAAAATTACGTAGATTTCATGACTAAGAACAACAAAAACATAAGAGTTCTAAATCTTATTTCTGATTGACCTGTTAAGGAGTTTAGCTAGCCCAACGACTGTAATGTTAGACAGCCAACCATATCAGTAATGTACATGCTTTAAAGATTTCAATCTGGCTTAACTCCCAAGTTCAAGTTTTCATATTCAGAGCAAACAAATGCTGTACAGAATGTTTGAGTTCAATACCGGTTTTAAAATGGACTATCTGGCTTTTGTTTGCTGACAACGGCCAGTTTATACACAAGCAACAACACTAAATTACCTATAACCTATTTACTGTAACAGCCCATGGTACCCTGCTATATATAGGGCTCTATGTCTTTGGTTTTAAATCTGTTTCCCATTAGAAAGAAAAAAAGATATATTGTTTGTAGCAACTAAATAAATAGCTCCTGTTGTTAGAAAATTGAATCTGTGAAAAAAAATTCTTTGTTCATACTCTAAGTCTCTTTTATTCATAACTGTTAGATCTGTGGTTTCAAACTAAGGGGAGATAAACCAGTACAGATTCACCTTAAAAAATCCAATGCAAGCCTTAGGGCCTGGTTAAAGACAATGCAGTAGAGTTTATAGAAACTGAATTTATTTTTACCCTGTGATTGTATAAATGTCAATGTTATCGATCGCAACAGAACCTAGTTACACTTTATTTAGGTGATAATATCCAAAATAGAATCTTGCATATTTTTCAAATGATTTTTATGTCTCATTTAATTATTTTTAAAAAGGAAATTTTTTTGGAATATTTTGGATTTGGAGGCAAGATTTCCATTTGGTCAGTTACATAACCGTTGTTAACTGAATTCTTTATAGCTAGCATTCAGAAATAATATATCATTTTGAAATTAACAAAAACAAAACATTGTGGTCAGGGTTGTCTATATGTCCTCATGATGATGTGATGTGAATTATAGTAAAATCTGATCACATTTACGGGACAACATCAGATGTCTCATGATTTGTTTACTTTGTATTTTGCTTGTTGTTAATTTTCAGGACTAACTCAGGTGCCACCCAATCTGTACACTTTGTACTTTGCTTGTTGTTAATTTTCAGGACTAACTCAGGTGCCACCCAATCTGTACACTTTGTATTTTGCTTGTTGTTAATTTTCAGGACTACCTCAGGCGACACCCTAGTTGTTTATTAGTTGACACGTTTGATTCTCTGAAGAACCTTATCGACAGGAATGAACAATACAAATTACTGCTGAGGTGCCATCTACTAGACTCAGGTAATTTATCCACTGACTTTCTTACTTTCATCAAAAAGTGCTTTTGTTTTTCTTGTGTCAAGCTTTGCCATTGATGTTTTACCCTCGTTTAGATTTTTTTTTGTTCAACTAAATCTTCATTATTTTAGCGCTTTAGAATGAAAAAAAGGTTTTAGGCTTACCCCTCTGTAGTTACTTGGCAGATATTTATAGTGCATTAGATATGTAATGCAATGATGATGATGATGATGATGATGATGATGATGACAATGCAGTGTCATCTAACATTGTTTCATCATCTCTCTGTCCTTTCTCTGTCCTTCACCTCATGTTTATGTTTTTTGAAGTTTAACTCACAGAAGTCATATACTTATATAAGTTCATGTCAAAATCTTCAATTAACTTCTTTTCAAAAAGTACAGACTCTGTGATCCAGATCTGATTTCATAGCTATTGGTGGTTATCGTGTAGCTTTACTTTCGTGTGCCAGAAATGACAGTTTATCATAAATGTTTTTTGGAGATGTAAATACATACATGAATTAGCTTAAAGGTTCACATCAATTAACTATGGGTTTTTCAAAAATTCATCCGAAAATCGATTGATTTTTCTCAGTGTTTCTCAGTGAAACAAATTCATCTTTATCACTTAAAATTCTATCATAGAATTTTAAACATGATTTTTTTTTTTGAAAATTAAATAGGAGAATTTCAATTACAGTAGAATATCTGAAAAGAATCTCTGATGTAGCTGAACTGATTATTACTTAAATAGCAGGAAATTTTCATGAATCTATTAAATCATATGTAGTTACAAATATATTGACATGGCATACTTAAAGTCATATATATTCAGAGTGATTTAGGATCCTCGAGTCACCTGATTTAAGTTTTAAAAAGAGAGGATGGGTAATGGAGCCAATGCTGTGTACTGTTTACTAGTGGGTAGATGGGTCCTTGGTCTCCCGTCTGGATACCTGAGGGTATGCAGGGGATTGACGCAATAGGGTGAGCTAAAATGCTGTGAATCAATCATGACAGGCTGGAGGCAGTTTCTAGTAATATATGAGGTATCCTCTACAAGTTTTGCCCAAAACCTTGGATTTCATCAGGACACAGTATTGTAAAATTTCTTGCCCAAGGTCTAAAATTGTGGACAGCTTTATATTATGCATTATGACATGACAATTAAACAACATATTCTGCTTAAAAAAATTTCCATTGTTCATCTGTCATCTGTTATCTTTTAAATTACCTTCTATTTATACTACTAAAACATCACACCTACGTACAAGCTTAAAGAAAAGATCACATAGAATATTTTTGTTGATCTTAAAATGTTTCTCAAAAAATTGATATGAATTCTTGTGCTCAATATTCGTTTGTAGCTAACTATATCTGTCTTATAACACCTGATCTATATTATCTTTATGCCTAATATATGTTACCACTGTGTGAGAGAAACACTGGAATTAAGTTAGAATGGCATTGCTCCAACAGGACTGGAGATAAGATTTAGTCTGTCCATCAACGATTACATCACGGCTATCAACGCCTCACTAACATGTCAGCAGGTCGTTCCAACAGTAAAAGATAATCATTATTCTGACACAGACACTGCAGTAACCCCAAGTACATTGCTTGTATATGTTTACCTTCAGGGAATATATATTATAACATGATTTGACCACAGTAAAAATGCCCCTCTATCATCCTGCTATGTAGTGGAATGTTTAGAAGGAAATAGAGCTTGCCTAGCTGTTACATAAGTATTTTAACAGCACTGAAGTGTTGGCATGTTGAGTTAGTTAGCTAGTGCATCAGCCCCTCCCCCTCCTCCTTTTATACATATGTAAGATAGATGGGAATTTATATTTTACAAGTTCACTCTGTAATGCCTACATAGTTAATTATAAATTGTTGCGAAGTCAGTTAAAGTTGTAAGTTTAAATTCCTGTGGTGTTTCTGAATTCCGGGAAGAATGACATGTAGATAATGTTGATTTGATGAATTGCTTGTCCGTACCATTACATTTTATCTAATTGTTTGAAGAAAGTTTGTGTGATCTGGTAACTATTTTTTTTTTTTTCATTTTTTATCTTTTAATTTGAATTGTAATTTTGCGGATAAGGCTTACAACCTACTATTACATTATATTAAAGTAGACTGAAGCATCGCAATTGTCATCTTTTGAAGATGGCAGACACAAGACCAAACATAGATGTTCTCTATCTATATCAAAGTAGCTGTAAAACCAGTTTATAAAATGTTCTTGTAACACTGCGAAAACATGTCTTTTTAAAAATTGCTCCCTGAAATTTTTTGGGAGCATATAGTCGCTGTCTTGTGTTATCAATTGATTGTAGTAGGTATATATTGGATCCTGTGTAAGAATTCAATGTTTAAAGACAAAATGTTCTCAGATATTTGTCAAATAAATACACTATTGCGTTATTTTTACTGTTATGTGCCTTTTATACTAAAGAGTTCTCTTCTAGTTCGCTAGCTGTTCAGTAAAATAAAAACTTTGCAGATTTGTTTTATTAAACAAATTGAAACAGTGTAGTGTTGTATCATATCGTGTAATGTTGCGTAACCATGTTGTAATTGGATACTGTCATCAATTTCGACTTACGTTTCATGGACCATTGATAATGGCACGATGTATACCACAAATACTTTCAATATGTTACACTTTTATTTGTTAGTAAGTTGTAGCAAAAGTAATCAGATATGGGCCTAATCTTTTGTCAGGGCTTATTCACAACCAGTCCTTTTGGTAACACCTGCCTAGTCAGAGTAAGGTTAGCGCTATAATTAAGCCAAGGGGGTCGTCTTCAAAATTGTAGTTAAATCACAGGTCTAATAGTAGAGATGAGCTCTTTTCACCTCATCTCGGTATCCCTCTCTCCTCAGTCACTTTATGCTCTTTATTCTCTGGTAATTTTCTTATCTTTTCTAATCCACAAGGCTGAAAGGCTGTTATAATGCACATAAATCCTGTCAAATAAAGAAATAAACAGACAAGGATATCTCAATCCTTGTGTAAAAGTTTTACTAGCCAACACAAGCCTCATGCTGGCAACTTAAACTCTAGCACTCGGCGATATTGTATATGTAAATCTATGAAAAAGACCAAAGATTCTATTTCTCAATACTTCAAATCTATCTGATATTCTCCCATCTAATCTGAAGGAAATTCTCGTACCTCAGTACATAGGAAATTGTAACATTTGGCTAGAATTTATTTGATAATACATGTATCTCTCTCTCTCTCTCTCTCTCTCTCTCTCTCTCTCTCTCTCTCTCTCTCTCTCTCTCTCTTTCTTTCTCTCTATGTGGAAAATAACTCTGAATAGAATTCCCAAGAGAAAGGTGGTGATGCTTCATGTGAAATGAGCCTCATTGTAAGTATTTTGTCAATATTGCTGGGACGCTACATGTGTGTGGGTGGCAAATATTGCAGAGGTCATCACTGCTCCTGCTACAGAGCTTTGAACCTGGGACCATGTGTTTACTGGTTTGACATTTTACTTAATGAGCTTGTGAAAGGAAAACAGTACCACACTGAGTAATGATAGGAAACGACTAGTACTCGTACCAGGATGACACTGTCTAATAAGTGAACTAAGTTGAGTATTCACATAAAATCACAAAGACATACTTTGTATGTGAATGTCACATTTCATCTTTGGAAAAACTAACCAGACTTTTGAAAGCACATAAGTAAAGATACTCTACTCTCTAATCAACATCTGAAAAAGAATCTACCTGTACAGGTGAACTTGATCAATATTTGTTGAGACAAAGTATAGGCCAGGTACAGTGTGATGGTTGACAGGTCCTTAATAGTGTGTGATGTATATATAATGCAACCCTAGTTATAGTCAGCAAATGCTTTTGTTTCAGCGTTACAGGTACCCGGTCAATTTCTCCCGGATTACTTATTCAAACTACGTCATGCTATGTTGTTGTTTCGGTCTGTTCGTTATAGAACAACAGGAGCCCATCAATACTGATGTATAGCTTCAATGATATAGGGTACTTATTGAGTTAGACAGACATAGAATATTTATGCTTGTCCGTGACCTTTCTCCACAATCAGAAAATCCCCGCTCAAAAATTGTAGATATAGTAAGTATTTTATTATTTATCTATTCATGATTAAGAGTTTTGTTCTTATGCTGACTTTGAATATTTTTAAACAGCTGTTAGATTGCACAACTTGTTTTATCAGAAGAAGATATCCTTGTTTTCAGTGCATCATTATTGATGTTTTTGTTTACTGGAGAAAGAGTATACAATAAATAATTAACCTTGTGGAGTTGTGTCTGTCAAGGGCAACAACTCTGGATCTTCAGGCATGATGATTGGACATGATATTTATAACTAAGCAGTTAACTGGTTTATTTATTAGCAGTGATTTTTTCTGCTTAATTAGCATGTGATCTGTGCCCAATGGAAAATACTTTTAGTTAAGAAATATTTTCTTTAAACCTTAGATTTGTCCTGAAAAAATGTCGGCCTTCATATATCTGTCTTAAAAAGGTTATTAATTTTCTTTAAGAAATGATACACCTTTAATTGATGCTCAAATTCAAGCTTTGAAGCAACTGATAACTATCAATAGCTTTCAGTACAGATCGCCGTCTGATGTCATGAAAAAGGATTTATTTTTAAAAGAGCAATATTTTTCTTTTCTATTATATGTTATTGAAAATATCTACCTCCTGAACACCTAGTCACGAGAACCTCTTCCTTGTGGCAAGGTTCACTTACAGTGTATTTTTGGCATACAATTTCATGTATAATGGGTGACTGTGATTCACTGAGTTGCCTTGTTTTTATTATGTATGATTAACTCAAATACCTGGATAGCTTTTTGCAATCCTGTTGATTTCAAGGGAAATGAAATTTGAATGCATTTGTAGCATTATCAGAACTTTTATTTTTTAAAAACATTGGTTTATTGATGATTGAAATTTGAGGAAATCTTGAGTTTTTTGCTGTGTGAACATTTTTTGTTAGTGTAGTTGTTTGGTGAAAGGCATGACCCTGTATGACGTTTTGATATGGTTTGTTTGCAGATTCCTGTGTGTTTACCCCCACCTTTGTCGAGCTGACCACGACAGACATCAGCATTAATAAGGCACGCCTTCAACAAGCCAATGTCAAGTTCCCTTTTGGTAAGAAAGAGATTAAGAAAATCCTTTGACAAACAAACAGATTTATAGCCTTTGTTTGGTAACAAAGAGGAAATATATTTCCACATAGAGGATTAGGCCTCATGTGGTAAGAATCATTCTGAAATAGCTCTTCAGAACACAGCTGTATTGGTTATGTTTGTCAAGAAACAAACTGAAAATATCTTCCATCTGCACAATCATCAGAACTTTAAATCAGCATTTTTCTGGCTTTGTCATGTGTTATTTCCCTAAATGTTTTCATAATAATAATAAAAACATGAGAATTTCTTCCTCATAAGTAAAGAAATTTGTTTAAAGATATTGAAGCACTTAATGATAAATTTAGGGGTTTATAATGGGACAGTTAAACACTTTAAGTGACTGTATTTGCTTCTAATTTACAAAACAACCATGGGCAAGGCCATCCCCAGGCAAGAAAATTGATTAGCAGGAAGGGATAATGTTTTAATAAATTAGATGGTAATAATAAGGAACAAAACTTTAAATAAATCTTGTTAATTTGTATCATATCTATAAAATGAATCAAAACTTTTAACGGTAAATTTGCCAAAAGAAAAGAATTGAATCAAAATAGTGTGTTTTGGGCAGACAAAGGAAAAAGACAAATGTTATTGTCTCATTTCACCTCTTTTTTGTCTTTTCTGTTTATCTCCTTTTGAAAACTAACATCAGAAGATTGTTCCTTGCATGTGGTGTGGTTAGTTGAGAGTACACAGAAGCAGTAATTATTGATCAAGAAGTTGGCCTGGAAAAAAATGTTCTCTCAGGAACATGTACATATGTGAAGATGTTCTCATCACTTCAGTCCGATGGGAGTCAGTAAATAGCTTTGTTTACATGTCTGTCTGTTATACAAGGAAATGATACATCATATATCCTCCTGTAGAGGACTTGTAGCAGGGAATCTTAATGTAAATAGTTTTGTTTTCCTCCAAGTACTATAGAACTGGATGAAATGTATCTATCTTTGTATATAGGTCTCTTGTTTATACAGTCACATTCCTCTTAATATCACACTTCCTGCTGAAAAATGGAATATGATATTAAGCGGGTTTGAATGTATCTCAGATTAAACAAAGAGGCTTTATTGAGGAAGAGAAATCTTACAAATTGAGTTTGAATTTATTTTGCTGAGTGAAACAATAGTCATATGTGAACGTGTGACATGACAAATTTTAATGTATCTACTGTGAAACTTTGCTTTAATTCTAAAGTTTATTTGACTATGTGTGGGCTTGAAGACTTCCTGTTGTACTGTCAGAATTATAAGTTTCTGGTAGTAGGGATCAAATTCTGTAGGCCTGACATTAGCGTTGGGATATATTGGTTATCTTTCCAGCACAACCTCCCTATACATGTAGAACAGATAGCAATTTTTTCAGAATTCATCATGAAAATGTCATCTCTCTTATGACTGACTAGGGACAGTGCTGGACCACCATGAAGCCATCAGTTTTATGACAAATTCTTGTACAATAAATGAATGATAAATAGAGACACAAGGCTTAGCACTGTCTGTCCAGTGTCCTCGGAGACTGGATGTTACCATGGTAACTGTTAGGAACAATCTTAGGGTCCAGTAATTTCGAAATCTTTCATAATCAGCCTACAATAGTTGTCTTGTTATACATTGAGATCAAACAGAATGATTAAAACACTGTTGGACTACAATATATATTATACAAGGTACTGTGAGGATCTGGAACATTATTCCGACTTATGCTTACATATTACACATCAGTGAAGCAATAAATTTTGAAATATGCGATTTTTCTTACCAAATTGTAAGATCTGAAAAATCCTGACAAGGCTGCAGAAGTTATAGGACTATTATATGAGAGGAACATACTGTTGCTATAGAAACAATTATATGACTATATTATATTATTGGTCAAAAGGTTATAGGAGGGATATTTTGTGGTGTTGCTATGGTAACAATTATATGGACTATATTATATGTCTGAAATAAAAAATGTGTGGAAAATTTTCCCCAAAAACCAACGTCTACTTGGAGGAGTTGTGGTTCTTTCTTATATCTTGATATTGTTGTAAAGTTTATCATTTTTGTAGTTGCTATAGTAACAGCTGTATGGAATGTACTATTGATTTGAAGGTTATAAGAGGGACATTTTGTTTAGTTGCTATGGTAAAGGCAATGTATGGAGGTTGATGAAAGTGACACTGTGTTGTGGGAATTTTTAAGGATATTTTTGGCCGGGTTGCACATAGTGCAAATCAGGGTTATAGTATGGTCAATGTCGAGCAAGCAGTCTCGCAGGCGGGTAGGCAGACGGGGTAAAGGGGTACCAGTGTTGTAGAATCAACTCCTCCTAGAGTTTTTGATGTAGAAGCTCGAACCTCTGTAGGATGTTTATATATATGTTAAAGATCAGCACCTCCAATCATGGATTCATTCCAGACATTTTTCTGGATTTTCCTGGCTTTGGAACTTAGTTATTTTCTGCAGGTTGGCAGAGAAAAGGGGTACCAGTTTTGTGGAATCAACTCCTCCTAAAGTTCATTCCAGACATTTTTTATGGATTTTCTAAGCTTTGGAACTTAGTTATTTTCTGCAGGTTGGCAGAGAAAAGGGGTACCAGTTTTGTGGAATCAACTCCTCCTAAAGTTCATTCCAGACATTTTTCTGGATTTTCTAAGCTTTGGAACTTGGACATTTTCCACAGTTTGGTAGGGAAAAGGGGTACCTGTCTTGTAGAATCAGCTCCTAGAGTTTTTGATGTAGAAGCTTGAAACTTTGTGGGATGTTTATATATATGTTGAAGATGTGCACCTATTAATTCATTCCAGATGTTTTTTCTTGATTTTCTGGTCTTTGGAACTTAGTCTTTTCCAACAGTCTGGCGTGGAAAATCCACAATGGCAGCCTTTGCCTCTCATTTGTTGAGATGTTGTTTTGAGTGTGATAGTCTCTCATTGGCTGAAACGTTGTTTTGAGCAAGATATATAACATTGCACTTATCCTGCAACCTGGCCAATTGTGGCTTTGCCCCATTATTTTGAGATTCTTTGGTAACAGTAACATATGTTACATAGTAATGGTCTGGAGTTAATAGGAGGGACAGTGCTGTGGATTAAAAGTATGTCAGTATAGGTTTCAATGAACTATTAACCTTCATATTTCTGACAGCTTGCATGGTTTATTGTGCTCAATAAACAAGCTGATTTGACTAGGTTTAGTTGACATTTTATGGCAAACAACAATTTCATAATTTTGTCTTTTTCTGACATACCGGTTATACTAATTAAATTGTTTTTTACCATTGAATCTCGTCTGTAGCTTAATCAATTTTCTGATTTGACTGAAGAAATTCTGATATTAAATTCTGATCATTGTTTTTTTTACTTTTTCCTCAGATATTTTTGTAATCCTTGTAGTATTCAACAAATACAGTTGACACCATCTGTTGGTGACAGATGTCTGACCTGTGAGCATGTCTACACATAATAGTGTTTCTGAATCGCCATGCATGAAGCTATCCATGTAGGGTGTGTGAAGAAAGAGGCATGCATTCATTGATATTTTCACTGAGAAAAATAAAACAATACATGTAAAGGGTTGACACCTTTGTTTTCTTTAATGTCAAAATTGCGTAACCATTTTATAAATATTGAAAGTCAATGTGCTGTTTTTGACTCGTATGTAAAAACATTTTATGTTAAGCTTCTGAGATATGGGGATTTCGCTAATCACCTGATGTAGAAAAAGCCTTAATTTTTGTAAAAAGTTGTTTCAACGATCTGATTTGTTGTGAGCTTTGTAGATTTCTTTTGATAGTAGAAAATTAAGGATTTTAAAATTCTGGTTGAAGGTGAAACAGACTGAAAACTGTATATTAAAATCATGTTATGATGAGTGTGTTAATCTAAACGATGTCTGGGTTGCTAATATCAAACAGGAATTATCTAGTCTTGGGTTGGAATATGTGTTTGAAAACAATTTACCTGTTAATGTTGCTTTTAAAATCATAGAACAAAGAATTTTTGACAATAGTAGACAGAACATGTTAGCAAATATATCAAGATCACCTACGGGTTTTTTGTATCAACATCTTGTTGATAATCTTTGTCTCCTTATTTTATTTATGTAAATCTATAGAAGCAAAGTACAAACGTCTTATTACTTGTTTCAGATTTTCGTCACACCATTTAAATATTGAAGTCGGTAGACGGAATGTTTTTGTCAAAATAGATCATGTACTCGTTGTACATCTGGTAATATAGAGGACAAATTTCACTTTATCCTAAAGTGTCCTCTTTACTAAAATCTGAGATGTAAATATATCAAACAATTCTATCACAGTAGTCCAATTGTTTTAAGTTAACGATATTACTGAGCACCAATAATGTAAAAGAACTATGTAATTTAAGAAAATATTTATATCGTGCTCAAGGAAATGCATAGAATTTAGTGATTGATAGAACTAATTGTACACTACAGTATCATTGTAAGCTTACTCTCCATTTAACCTAATTTGTATAACATTATTTCATGTTTATACCACATTGTGTAATCATGTGTTTGTTATTTAACCTAGGAGTCGGATGGCTCGCGGAAATTAACCTGTCATTCATGCCGTTTGTTTGTTTCTGGGATTAAGATATACACGTAAAGAACACAGTGGAATGTTGCTTGATTTACTTTTCTGATTTCTGTTTTTATGCTGTTTAAGATTCTGTGAGAGTATAAGATTATTGACACTTAAATCTGGCAAATAATTATCACCCCTGTGCATTAAAATAATTTGAGACTTCCCGAGTGAAACTGGAAATATATTACTGTAGTTCAATTAACGACTGTAAAATCTAAACGTGTTTTATTTACAAAATGTTTCAGAATGTTTCCATGTAAACAAGATTTCTCACCTGCATAAATTAGTATATGTAAAACCTCAGGTTATCTCAGACCACATGTTAGGTGTCATTGTTTTCAAACTAAAAAAAAAAATTGATATTGAATTATTTTTCATTACATGTAATACCGTAATAGTGGTGGTGAAAATCACACAATGTCCCATTATCTTTGATTAAAATATCATGGCTTGTAAGTAAGCAATTAAATATTCACCACAGAGCTAATGATAGTAGGCAATCATAATCCCATTGTCAGGTAGCACTCTTCACTGAAGTGGGTGAAATTTCACAGTGGAGCGAAAATGCCTGTACAATACAGGTAAATGTTTTGTTCGAATCATGAGGCATCAATGACTGTGTTATAATAGCTTATGGTCCGTGAAAAAAACTTTGATAATCGAAAAGTTGGATTATAAAACTTTGATTCATAAGTGGGTAAGTTAGTAGAATATGGGAATAAAACTTAGGACCGGACAAAACTTTGATACATCGAGAAATTCAAATCATCCAAGTTTGATTCATGGAAGTTTGACTATCTGTTTAACATAGTTGTAATGGCCTGGGAAACTTGTGTTATAGGAGGTTTGATTGTATCTGTACTGTAAGACTGTGATCACTGACATCATCAGTATAAGCCGCCTCGTTTTGCTCCACTGACTTCTAACATTTTCCTGCTTCATGATGTTGTATTAAGAATTTATAAATGTCTTTGTAGTTGATTAATCTCCTGAAAATTGCACACTGAATTGTTAACCCCCATTAAATTTTGATTAGAAATTCATCTTTGATTCAGGCAGTTCATGAGAACTTCAGAGTGAGTAATGAACTTTTAAGACAGATCTGATCTGATCTATCTTACCTCGTCCCCTAATCTGAACTTTCAATAAAGTTGCTGTCTCTGAATCAGGAACTTTTGCTTGAATTTGTTCAGAGATTAGACAAATGAATTTTGCACTTTTATATGAACATTTATGAGTCAAGGACTTTAAAGTTTACTTTGTAACTGCTTCAGCGTCTTATACTCTGGTGTTGAATGAAATAAAATTAAAGGTAATTAATATTGATTTTTGACAAATTGCTGATGTATCATTTGATACAGCTAGTATAAACTAAGGCTGACAGTGATAATTATGTGATGCTTGAATAACCTATGAATTGCCATTATTCTGTTCACAGTATGTAAACCCATTGTTGCCCACAGCACTAGCAGGTCCCACAAGGTAAGTTTCTGTCTTCGAAGTAGATTAAGATTTTTTGGAAAAAGCTCAGTAACAGGATTGTTTCTTTGTATTTTATACTGTAAAATCATTCCTTTTTGGGGGGATTTATTTTTGTTGATGTTGTGGGTCTACAATATGTCCACAAATTGTTAAAATTGGTACAACTAGATCTGTCAAGCTAAATAAGAGCATTTCTTGACTTACAGTAGATCTAAAGGTTTTCAAAATGTCAAATTGTTGTTATAATTAACAATGGATCAGATCTTTTAAAAATAGTAACAAATAATAATGGTTAGATAGGTTTAAAGCTAATTCTTTAAATCCTTCATCATATTTTTTGCCAATTTACAAAGAGAATACACACTTACTGCTACAACCTTCACCAATTTACAGAAAATAAATCGGACTTCTAAGTCCAAATACTAATCACAAACAGTTGAATCTTCAACCACTCTTATTGGGAACAAGTCACTCATATGGCAAAAATCTCTTGTAAATTTTTGGTAACATCCTTGACCTTGGCCTTGAACTTGTTCCTTTCAGATGTGTATCATTTTCAACGAGGAAGGTCTGAAAGATGTCCAGCCTCCGTGTGTGGCCCAGACTTTCATCAACCATAATGCTATCCTGTATAAAGTGTTTGTGATAGGGGACAAACAGTATGTTACTGAACGACCTTCACTAAAAAATTTCTACAATGAGGGTAGGTATCATTGAAAGTACAGGACTACCATAAAAAGGGTAGTGTCGACATTTTATAAGTCCCCTTATCACTGACTTGAACCCTTCATTGAGAAGTCATGATATATCAGGGTTAACTAATTTCAGCTTGGTTCTGCATATAATGTTTGTATTTAGACATAATATTCACAAAATTATCACCAAAGTCAAGTCATCGTTTTGAAAAACCTCAATAGATATGTCTGCAATTCGTGTTAGAAAATTTCCAGTTATGTTTTTGTAGTTTAGAAAAGGACAGTTTTTAACTTTACTGATATTTTTCTACCAAATCTCCCCTTGAAATTAGCATCAAATTTTTCATTTAGCCAGCTGACAAAATTAATTAAATCAACAATGTTGAAGCTGTATCTTCATAGTGTGTAAGTACACCTTTAGACAAAGTTGATAGAATATTGAGACTTGTTGATGTAAGATATGTAGAGGATAACACTTTGACAGGCTCGTCTTCCACAAACATCTTAATCCATTTTCTGTATCTTGATTAGATAATTAATGGACATTTCTATTTAGACGATAAAATGTTATTTGGTGACCTTCTATTTTTCAGACCAAGAAACAATTTATTTTGATTCCAGTCAGATATCCAAGCCGAATTGCTCAAACGCCCTAACAGAGGTAAATAGATATTGTCATGTTACATATACTTAAATATCATGTCATTTGGCAGAGAAAATTTCATACAAATTGTAATATGCCCTAACAGAGGCAAATAAATATTGTCATGTTACATATAAATAATTCAATATCATGTCATTTGGCAGAGAAAATTTCATACAAATTGTAATATGCAACATGTCGCTTTACTGGTTTCTGTGTAAATTTGAAAATAATTATATACTTAATCTGCAATCAAAACCAACATGTGTCTGTTTTAAAGTCAGGGGATGGGGTTATTACAGAACCCCATAGGGATCAGTTCACAATGTCTGTTTCAAAGTCAGGGGATAGGGTTATTACAGAACCCCATAGGGATCAGTTTACAATGTCTGTTTCAAGGTCATTGGGTGGGCTTATTACAGAGTCCCTGGGGACCAACACCAAACGTCTGTTTCAAAGTGAGTGGAAGGGCTTATTACTGGACTCCTTGGGGAATAATATGCAATGTCTGTTTCAAAGTCAGGGGATGGGCGTATTACTGGAAAATGAAATACTATTTCTTTGTAATTCTGCTGAATAGAAATAGACGTTTGTGGGCTTATTAGCAGGTGTAAGCTTATTGGTAGATAAATACAGAAATGTACAGTCATGTTGTAGTATATGAAGCTAGGTCTGTGAAGTTGCTTTCTCTGCAGTTTTGTGTTTTGGATATGTGATTGAGTAAAATGATGATCTACACATGAAGAAAAACAAACAAAATTGTATAATATTTTGGCATGCAGATAAATGGTATTTTAAGAAAATGTCACATTAACAGAAATATGATATTAGACATAGATTTGAAGGGAATCCTGTGTACAAGGATAGAGAGGTGACCCCTTAAACAGTCATAGATCACTGTGCTGAAATGAGAAATATATGTCTTTCAACTCACCACAAAATTCTGATTATATTCCTACAGTTTGACTTGATAATGTAACATTTGTACTTTCCAAAGATATATGTAGCAAATATCATTGATGGAATTCCACAGTTATATAGTTATAGTTTTATGTTAGACAATTTGACCTTTTATGTTAGACAATTTGACCTTTTATGTTACCCAGTTAGATGAAGGTGACCCCAACAAGAGCGAGTCTCCAGTTAAGCCTGACATTGAACTGCTGAAGGAACTAGGACAAGTCGTCGGTCTCGAGTTCCAAATACAATTGTTTGGCATTGATGTAATTATTGACTGCGTCACCAAAAAATATGCTGTAATTGACATCAACGCCTTCCCTGGTAAGTTTTCACAGAGAAAAAGGTGTCTACATCATTAACTCTAGTGAACCAGGTGTTCATCTCTACGATAAATAAACTATTTATGATATGCAAATGTATTCTTTGCCACGATGTTTGATTATTTTCTAAATAAAGAATAAACTTTTATCTGAAATTAAGTTCTTATTTCAGAAGAAAAGATGATTGTTGCAAATAATCTGACAACCGTGTACATGTTATGTAAATTGTGAAAGTTTCTTTCCACAGTGTTGTGTATATCAGTAACAGTGATCTGATTCATAACTATACTAATGTTTTTGTATCAAAGTGGCTGTTTTAGGATATGAGAGTCATAACTACACTTTTTTATTTGTATAAACGTGGCTGTTATAGGATATGAGGGAGTGGATGGCTTTGTCCAGTTGCTTTGTAATCATTTGATGTCACTGATGAATCAGCAACCAGGTAACCAATCGAGTGATAGAAGTTTAGCAGGAACTAAACACAATGGTCATCATCTTCCCTTGGAAAATGGCTATTGTGATCGACCGAAGCGACTGAAATATTCCTCACCTGAGCCTGAAGAGCATACTGGTGTTTGCAGCAAGTGTTGTGATAATTCTTTTTCGTCCGGTGGAAATAAGACTGTACATATGCGCCAGGCCAAAAATTTGAGTGATGATTTAAGTGTGCAAGTGGATAATCGTGCAAAATCTGATGTCATACCATGGAAACAGCCAATCAACGGTTGTGTAGAACATAGCCACTAAACTCCGTGAGAGTTTCGTTAATCTATGCAGGACTTTATATTTTAACTACAGGTTCCAGTGACTTTATAATTATACACATAATGTAATATTCCTGTGATTATGTAGCAAGTATATAGCAAAAGGGGTCAAAGGTCATTTGCACAAAAGCAATCTAAAGTGATATGTCTAGGAATTGATATTGGATGGACATACAAAATTTTTCTAATAAATTGAAAAAGCTTTGCATGAATTTGATAAATGATTTCATATTTGCCACATCTTTAACTAATTTAGGATGTGAAAATGAAAGATTTGACAATTCATTTTGCTTATGCACACGTTTGCCTGTCGAACTGAAATAAAAAGCAAATCAGATGATACATAAATTATTTCATACATATCGTTTAATAGGATATTGTAGGCAGAGTTCAGAATATCCCATTGGGTATTTAAGCAAAATCAGTTTAAAATCAACAGAAAAGATACACTCTTTAAACATATAGGATGGTTAATAAATTGTTGGTGGAATGTCTTAGCAAATTTAAACAAAAAATCAAGAAACAAAAAAAAAGTATCAGCATTTTCTTTCACAGATTTAAACATGTCCCTCTACAGCATTTAAAATTTTGCATTGAAAATAAAACAACAAAGCCTTCGTCCTAGTATAAAGATTAATCTTTCAATATAAGGGAGATAACTCTAGAAAAAATGAACCAAGTTGAAAGTGCGAGACATCTGTTGTTAAAGGTTTTAGACAATGAGTCATTTAACAGTTTGAAAATCAGATTATATGTTGAATGTTGAAGTTAATTTTAAGTTTGCGACTGTGTGATTGATAGGGCTCTTTGTTTCACTCTCTGTTATTCACTTTGTACTGTTTGATTCCTGCTTTTAGCACTGGTCAATTAAACTTATAGCTAAGGCATTTTTATATAAGCATTTTTAACCTTAAATTGTAGTGATATATGTAGTGTGTTATATAATTTGAGAGAAGTTTAAAGGAAATTTGATGTTCTGTAATATGTAAATCATATTCTATTTAGCATAAAACTTTTTGTCAGTCATGTATTGAGGCAAAATGATAAACCAATTTACTATTTTTTTTGTACTGATTTTTATTCCTTTACTATGAATAGTACATTTTGTATTGTTAAGAGTTACATTTTAGATAAAACTAACAATGTCCTAAAGATGTATAGCGTTTGTAAACCTGATTTTATCACTTTCAAACCTGTAGTCCTGTGACATTTAATCTGGTGGTTGACACTTACAATAAAGTTTTTCCCAAAACAGATATATCAGTGATCTGAATTATTTTTAGTCGTGTTGACTCCCAACCAGTGTCAAAGAGCGTGAGTGTTAGAATTATTCAGATTAATATAATAACATGTGTACAATTATTTCAAGCCGACCGTCTGAGATTACATGACCAGACTTTGTTACTGATGCCAGATAATTGAACTATCACAGCTGCACACGACTTTGAATATTCATAATGTCAAACATTGTAGTTGTTACAGCTGTAACATTGTTTAAGTAAATCAGCTTAGATTTTCAAACTACAATGTAATTGTGTGCTGCTAAAGTCACTCTTGACCAAGTGTACATTTTATTTAAGTGCAGCCAAAATAAACCTGTCGCTTTGTCATCCAGTTTACAGTGTACTTGTAAAGTGTATAATGTACTTCATAAATCTATGCCTTATAGGTCGTAAGTCTAATGAAGGTGACAGTTCTGTCATCAAAATGTCATACACAAATTTCTAATAGGTTGTGCGATATTGCATCAAGTTCAGCACATTTGTAAAGGGAAATTATACGTATTTCTGTTATACTAGAGCAAATTCCCTTCCCTGTAAGTAAAAGGAAACAAGGGTTTTAATTTAACTGAACCTTTATTGACATGCACTGTGGCTAGTCAAAATTACTGATAAATTGCCTAACAGTATTAAGGAAAAATTAGAAAATAAAATGCATATAAGCTTGCAAGGTTGGAAACATGCAATTGGGGTTGCTGTTACCTTCACTGTGGTACATAGTACTACACACACAAATATCCAACAGAGTTATCATTGTCTTGAATTCGTGACAAGGAAGTAAATCCCTAAACAAGCAAAACAATTTATGTTGAAGATGCCGAATATTTTAAAATATTATGTTTTCAATGATATACAAAATATCATCAAATTATCATGATTATCAGGTAAAAATTCCAAGTTGTCATTGACCACACCTACTGGAAATCAACTATTATCACCCAAACTGGCTGTGAAACTTTTTCATATTATGTAAATTATCTAGAAGACTTAGTTTACTATATTTACTTTGTTAAAAAGATTCTTTTAAATCTCTTTGTTATGTGTAGAAAGTACACTGTTCCTTCAGAATATTAGTGTCTGCTTGTCATGGAGAGGTTGTTTAGGGAAAAACTTTCCATTTTCGTGTCCATTCATACTTTTAAATAGTAAGACATATTACTATAATATAAAATTAAGTCTAGGAGACCTACCTTTTATCTCTGACTCATTGTTAGGGACTGGGCTTATTACAAGACAATATCCCACAGGTGTTTGTAATTCTAATAAATGATAATAGTTAAGAATGGTTGTTAAATACTTGAGGTAAGTGAAGCTTGGAATTTCTGTGACGAAAAAAAATCAAGTTTTTTTTACGTACTCTTACAACAATTATTTCAGGAATTCACATTTTAAGTGTAATTTTTTTTCTTGACTTTTTGAGAGGGATAATATTTATCTTTGTGATTCATGTTTGATCTTTAAACAGTGTTTGTTTCATATGCAAAATGTTTTTTGTTGAAGTTGATTATTAAATAAAACTGTTGTATTATTGTTGTCAATAATGCAGAAGTTTGATAATAATTTCAAATTCCTTGTATATCTGAAATCAAAGTAAAAGACTTTAACAATTATTCTTATCAGAATATTTTTAAGATATGTACTTTATACATAAAAAAAGTTGTTAAGATATCCCAGGTAATCAAGGGCCTTACTTCTCATTTCCCTGTCTTAAGTCCTTCCTTGCCGTATCAAAAAACCAAAGGCTCTGCAGACACTTTGTAGAAAATTAGAGTTAAATTAAACATAAAATGATGGTAACATGTAAAATCTGGTCTCTTTGATGTCAGAAAAAAGGACACAGCATATGATTTTATTTATGTGGCACTCTCTTCTGTGTCTCAAAGGAAGTGTGGCAGGCTGATAATTGATTGTCTTTTTATGTCTGAAATTTACACAAGTCTCCTGAGCATAGAACTTCAGGTCTGACATACTCTGTTATCCAACGGTGAAGGCTAGACTGGAACCCTTGGGATTTGATGATGAGTTGTGACCAACTCTTCATAACTCTACTTAAAATACTTGAACATTTCTCCTGATTATAACTGGATCCTTGTAGGTCAGATATTATTTTTAAATACCTAGATCAGGAAGTTTCGTAACATTTCGACCTGTGTTTTATCTATAAAAATTTACATTAGCAAATAAAATTCTATTACTACGGAAAATTGAAAATTAAAAAATATGTTTTTAATCTCGGATGTACATATAACAATTCAAAACCTCACAAAATCAAATGTTTTCAGTAACCAGTAATCGTAAAAGAATAAAATTTATGGGGAGATCATTCTGTATATAGACAATACAATTTAATGGGAGATAATCTTGTGTATAGACAATTAAATTTAAGGGGAGGCAATTCTGTGTATAGCCAGAAAATGCTAGATATTAAGTGATGGTATTATACAAACATTTACTAAAAGTATTGCTGACAAAGCCAGTGTGTAATGGCTCTGTTCTCTACACCTTCGCATTTATGGACCTTTGTCTTCTTTTTGTCTCAAAACATTGTCACTTTATTTTATTTATGTTTTCTGTGTTTTAAAAAGCTGGGACATTTCACACATTCCATAATTTTGTATTTATCTGTTTTCTGGTAAACAATGATTTCTGGATTTTTTGAACAGATTACACATCTGATGTACAGCATTTAAATCAGACAACATAAAAAAATATTCAATTTATTGAATTAATGTTAATTGACTCAAACAATTAATAGACATATAATTAAATAATTGGAAGCATAGGCTTCTGTCAAAGAAAATATCACATCCATATCAGAACTGATGGGCTTTGCTTATATTGTAAGCTTGGTTGAAACTCATTCATTTTTTTAAGGGTTTGGTTTTATTGTGCAATTCATGATGATTTGTATATTCTCTATAAAGTTGACTGTTAAAATTACTTACTAATTGTATTCTAATAAACCCTAATAGCATACAGCCAAATTCTGTGTTTTTTGTAGCCTCAAGGCATAAAACAATTATTATGTGTCTTGACATTGTCTATACTAACTTTCTTTGTCTAACATTTTAGCTGATTTTAAACAGGGATTGTTGAAAGATTCTGTTAGAATATGTAAAGTCATATATTTTAGTGGGGCTAAAAAAAAGAATTTTTTCTGGATTTCGATTTCATTGATAATAAATCTATATACCTGGTTTACTGATTTTAACAAATCATGGACATGTGAATTCATGGATTAAGAATGCTGACAAAATCCACAAAAATATATGCCCCAATAAAATGAATGTTTTACACTGCTTGGCGTTGGTTGAACATTCTTCTTATTTTTAATAAATTCTATAATATGAAATCATTCCTTATTTTATGCTGTTAAATTATCTGTTAATATGGGTGTAGGGAAATCTGTTTTTTAAATTGTGCACACTACTTTATAGAGCTGAGTAGCAAATACTGTTTCAAAAGTGTTAAAACAAGTGTACATGTATGGTGTACTTCTGATAGGGAGAAAATTAGCTAAATGAAGAAGTAAATTTCTTGAGTCTGAACTGCTGTTTTATACACAAATGGATATAAACTTAAATGATTGATATATTTACAAAGAAAAAAACTAAACAGTATATTATTCTATAACCTTTTTTTATTGATATAATGCTTACTGTCCCCTATAACTGTGAAACAAACTCAAACCTACCTATGTATAAAAATCTAACTTGTCTTTCCCAAAGATGTTTAATTTGTCAGTATTCAAATACTTTCTTTTAATAATTTGTGAACGATTGACTACTGAAGCTCAAATTTAATTAAGTTCTTTTTTGTTGAAAGTGGCTGCATGAGTTTGCCTTCCAGGCCTTTTGGTCCTTGGTCAAGGTCATTGTTTTTACAGACAGAAAATTGGTTGCCATCCTTTTTTATACAACCAGAGATTCCTTTGGGTCATAAAAATATCTTGTGCTTTTTAACTGAAAGTACATTTTAGAGATTCATTTCAAGCTCCAGAGTCAAAGGTCATGGCCATTCAAAGACATAAATAGCACAAGGAAACAAGCTATGATTTTTATGGAAATCATGTCATTGGCTGAGTTGTAGAATCAGTAAGTTAATATATCTGAAAGATGAGCTTACTTTACTCAAAGACCTTAATATTAATTGATCTTAATAGATAGATCGCTTATATACATGTATATTTAAAATAAAAAAAAATAAGAAATGAAAAAGGCAAGCTTCTTGAGAAAATAAGAATTTTTTTTATTGGGCTACAAATCACAGATACTGTTTAAGGAGTTGGATATCAGGCATGTGCTGTTGTGTATTTCTTAGAAATGATAATTTCATTTGTTTGTTTTTTATAGTAAATATTTACCCGAAACTGGACTGGTACAGTGATAAATTACTTTGTATACTAGATATATGACAATAATCATAAAATGGATATCTGGTGTAAGGTCGTTTGTCACTATACAAACAAAATTGGTATGTTAGAAATTTCAATCACAGCACACACAATATGTCATCAGTGAGTGGGGTATTAATTAATTTTTTTATATGTAAAGAATACAGCTTTCATTTATCTCCTCAAAAACTATGTTCCCATCTCAAAAAAAAAGGAGAAATCTTAAATAGAATTCAGATTTTCTTTTTCTTTAAGCAAAACTGATGTTTGACCTACAGCTGAAGTGGAAAGAGTAACACAATGACTGGTGATCATAACTATTTGTTCTGAAGAGTTCCTATTTGGCTGGCAGTTTCCAATTCTTCATTTCAATCAAAGTTTTAAAACTTGAGAATTAAGCCTTTTTTAGGGAGCCAATTTTGAAGCGTAGATTTAAGAACAAACAGAATATTTTCGGAATTACATATATGTCTATCTCTATCTTTCAAAATGAACATCATGTCGTTTTAACATTTTTTCCAAAAAAATGCTGAAAGCAGAGACCCAAAGATTTGGCGTGGCGTAGCTGAGAGCAGTCTCAATGGCCTGATTTAGTTGTGAATGGCATTAGTGACAAGGCTCAGCCAAGAACAATCTCAATGACAGGGGTCAAATAGGACAAATTCTCTACAACAGTTTACTGCTACAATGTTTGTGTGGATGGTTAAGGGGAATTACTGTATGTGACTACAACTCACCATCTGATCAACAGTATGGGTCGGTGGCTCTCGTATAACACTGTATATATTATATATCTTTGACCACTGATGATATGCTATTTTACTGCGAGAATAAAATAAATATACATGAACAATAACAAAAATTCTTAGAATTTTCTGTTATATATAGTTGAAATATGAGAGGAAGATGTGGACCAAATTAATATGCCAAAATGAGCAAATTTCAATCACTTTCAGACATTTTGTTTAGCCACAATATCATTGATGAGAACACAATCACATGTTGGGGTTTTCAAGCTTACAATGTTTCAAAGAAATTGATTGGAAACTGTGAGAGAGATATTTGGACATGATAAAAATATTTAATAAAAAAACAAGTGACAATAACTCTTTTCATTGTAAAATCACAATATTATAAATGAAGACACAAATTTGTGTAATAGTTTCAAATTCTATAAAGATTGAGAAAAAAAGTGAGAAATCTGAGGCAAAAGATCTATATCCAAAATAAAAATATTTAATAAGACAAAGGGCAATAACTCCTTAAAAATTGTTGAATCAAACTGCTGTGAAGGAAAACACAACTACTTCATGTCATGATGATTAAAGCATACATAGTTTGAATAAATTGGTTGAAAACTGAGAGAGAAGATTTCTAAGACAAGATTAACATTATGAAAATAACAAAGTGCAGTAACTCTTCAAAATACAGTATAAAAGAAGTGCCGTTCAGGAAATTACAATTTCATGTCATTGTGATTAAGTCCACTATTTTGAAAGAGATTGGTTAAACTATGGGAGGAGTTGAAAACAACCAGATTAGTGGTGTCTATATGTATAGTGGGATAAGTGGTGTCTGTATGAATAGTGGGATTAGTGGTGTCTGTATTTATAGTGGGATAAGTGGTGTCTGTATGAATAGTGGGATTAGTGGTGTCTGTATAGTGGGATTTGTGGTGTCTGTATTTATAGTGGGATTAGTGGTGTCTGTATATATAGTGGGATTAGTGGTGTCTGTATGTATGGTGGGGTTAGTGGTATCTGTATGTATAGTGGGATTAGTGGTGTCTATGTATAGTGGGATTAGTGGTGTCTGTATAGTGGTTTAAGTGGTGTCTCAGAACATTTTTTTTCGGGATGGTAATATATTTATATTAAATATTTTTTCTGTTATCACAATTAGTGAGAAAATATGTGTTACGTTACAAGTATCCTAACTTAATGGCATGGTTACGTGCAGTATGTCAATATGTAATCTTTGATGACTTTAAACTGATGGGAGGACCCAGCGACCAATACATACAAAACATACATGATAGCAAGTCCTTCTAAGACTATTGGTGAATGAGTTATCATAAACCTCTACTAAGATTATTTAGTGCAGTCGTATTAATGTGACCTTGACCTCTGATGACCTTGACAGAGGTCTAGGTCATTTATGGAAAAAAGTTTTACTTTCAGATAATACTAACTCAATATAGAGCTGTTGATTATTCAGAAATAATATGACATAGTTTACTTGGTTGTTTGACAGGTTTTTTTCTCCACAACTGCTCCTGTGTCGGGATATCATCTCACCAACAAATGTCAGTTTCTAGCGATGTGGCATAGTTTACCCGTCTGACCTTTTTAAATTAGTCAAGGTTATTCATTTGAACAAATACAAGTCCTTTACCTCAGCCTGGTATGTTATGCTAATTTATCTCAAAATCAAAACAACAAAGGAGTATTTCTGATTGTTTATTAAACACCATCATACAAAAGATAAACAACTAATATGCTACATTGTTCAGTTTAAAATATAAACAGCATTTCTTCAGATTTTCAACATCAGTAAAAGTTGGAAAACTTTTCCTTTGTAAACTTTCTTCATCCCAAGACATAAATGTGACGTTTTGTGTAGAAATGTTCTTTTGTTCATAAGGCTTCAAGAACATAAGCATTCCAGAATCATTCTGACATTTCATTTTTTATCATTCAAAAAACAAAAAAAAAACAAAAAACAATAAAAAAAACCCTGCTTTTTTTGTAGTTTTGAGAGTAGCCGACAGTAATTATTTACGATGATATTGAATTCTGAAAAAGTTCTCATACAACAAGTTTTCGTGTTACTTGATGTGTATATCAAATGAGTTGTCATGTGTGAAACTTTAAACATCCTTCCAAATAATGTGGATTTGAAAAGTGAGAAAAATGTGACAAAAACCCTGATATCTTCAGATTTTTCTTGAACATTGATTCTAGGTGATAAGAAATTGGTGGGACATCAATCAATAAAACAAAATGAATCACTGAATCACAAAGCCAAGCAATTTGTGTATTATGAATCACTGAATCACAAAGCCAAGCAATTTGTGTATTATGAATCACTGAATCACAAAGCCAAGCAATTTGTGTATTATGAATCACTGAATCACAAAGCCAAGCAATTTGTGTATTATGAATCACTGAATCACAAAGCGAAGCAATTTGTGTATTATGAATCACTGAATCACGAAGCGAAGCAATTTGTGAAAGAAAAAATAGCCAAACTATAAACTATATAGAGCAGACTTGGATAGAGGTATACACAACACTAAAATTTCTCAATCAGAGGATGTAAATTACAATATCAAAACACACAGTCATACCTCAGTCAACATGGCAATCAAAGATTCAGACGACTCTCATCATCGAGAGAACTGTTGGTAAAACAATTGTCAGTTGTGATCGAACACACTTTCATTTCTATTTCAAAGAAGAAAAAATTAGCATGGAAAATTTTGATACTAACCCTGGACTTAAAGAAGATTTGAGAGATTATCATACAATGAATTTAAAAAATGATTCAGGTCACATGATTTAATATCCAGTTAGGTTAAATATTGTATAAAACAAAACTCACAGAAAAAATCTACGGAATGGTAAAGCAACTTGAAAAGAGGATACCGTAGTCATTCTTTTTCATGGGGGACTTATTTACGTTGATTTCATGGGTACTGATAAAACAAGTATACCTGGGTAAATTGATTTTATTTCGTTAATCTCATCCATGATTCAGGTGTACATGAAGAAGTATTTTTTGAAAAACCACGAGAATTGGACCCCACAAAGATATATGATTTTACTAATGCTGTGATGTAATATTGAATGCATGCAATAAACACGATCATTTTCACTACATTATAACCTTGTTTGTTGTCTTCGTTATATAAAGTACAACTATCATTTTTGGTGTATAAATTGAAATGACTGCTTGAAACTGCACTTCAACTTGAAGATGATTAAGTAAAGTACAATACAATCGTAATAAGACAAAATTGAAATTTCATTGTGGACTTTAGAGAAATGAGGCAGCATGTTGACTTCAGTCCTTACTGTAAATCGATGAAAAAAGCATTTCCTATGTTCCTAAATTAACTTGTATAAAGGTTTAAATTGCTAGCAAGGAGAACAACTGAAAACAAAATAAATGTTATCAGTCCTGGTTCAGATCATAACAGTCAAAGTAATTCCTCTCAGTGTACCACTGGAGGGAAAGTTGATCAGAACCAGTCCTAGTTCAGATCATAACAGTCAAAGTAATTCCTCTCAGTGTACCACTGGAGGGAAAGTGGATCAGAACCAGTCCTAGTTCAGATCATAACAGTCAAAGTAATTCCTCTCAGTGTACCACTGGAGGGAAAGTGGATCAGAACAAGTCCTAGTTCAGATCATAACAGTCAAAGTAATTCCTCTCAGAGTACCACTGGAGGGAAAGTTGATCAGAACCAGTCCTAGTTCAGATCATAACAGTCAAAGTAATTCCTCTCAGTGTACCACTGGAGGGAAAGTGGATCAGAACTAGTCCTAGTTCAGATCATAACAGTCAAAGTAATTCCTCTCAGTGTACCACTGGAGGGAAAGTTGATCAGAACCAGTCCTAGTTCAGATCATAACAGTCAAAGTAATTCCTCTCAGTGTACCACTGGAGGGAAAGTGGATCAGAACTAGTCCTGGTTCAGATCATTACAGTCAAAGTAATTCCTCTCAGTGTACCACTGGAGGGAAAGTGGATCAGAACTAGTCCTAGTTCAGATCATAACAGTCAAAGTAATTCCTCTCAGTGTACCACTGGAGGGAAAGTTGATCAGTACCAGTCCTGGTTCAGATCATTACAGTCAAAGTTATTCTCTCAGTGTACCACTGGAGGGGAGTGATCAGTACCAGTCCTGGTTCAGATCATTACAGTCAAAGTAATTCTCTCAGTGTACCACTGGAGGGGAAGTGATCAGTACCAGTCCTGGTTCAGATCATAACAGTCAAAGTAATTCCTCTCAGTGTACCTCTGGGGGAAGTGATCAGTACCAGTCCTGGTTCAGATCATTACAGTCAAAGTAATTCTCTCAGTGTACCACTGGGGGGAGTGATCAGTACCGGTCCTGGTTCAGATCATTACAGTCAAAGTAATTCTCACAGTGTACCACTGGAGGGGAGTGATCAGTACCAGTCCTAGTTCAGATCATTACAGTCAAAGTTATTCTCACAGTGTACCACTGGTGGGGAAGTGGATCAGAACCAGTCCTGGTTCAGATCATAACAGTCAAAGTAATTCCTCTCAGTGTACCACTGCGGGGGAGTGGATCAGTACCAGTCCTGGTATGGATCATAATAGTCAAAGTAATCTTCCCAATGGTCAGAAGCATAATCATCGTCATCATCATATGAATAATCACAGTCTGTGTCATCATCCCCTTCATCATATGGGCACTCCACGTTGTACACTGCTTGACTCTTACGAGTGTGGTAAACACAGTGCGGACAGCTAATGTGGCATCGTACATGGTCTGTTGGCATCTTAACATGACAAGTGGCACTCTGCATCAGTGCCTGTGGCATATTCTCCAGCTTGGACCATTTCTTGGTCTCATAATTAAACCTGAAAGCAGAATCGAGAAGCTTCTTTGTTGAGGCGTCTCTTCCACCAAACACGTAAAAGTTGGCACCATCCGAGTGATAGGAGATGTCAAGACGGTTTGGATCCTCAGGTAGATGTGTTATCATCTGAGTTTTGACTAACTTCCATCGTTTTTCAGCAAAGGAGTACTTCTTTGCTGAATGTTTACCCATTCTACAAGCAAGGAGTTCATTTCCTACAGGAATCAAAAAGGTATCCCAGAATGCTCCCTTGGAATGGTCAGTCCTTTTCCCGCAGACCGTATCATACATAATGAACTTTGGACCATGACTCTTTTTGCTTTTCCCACCATGTTTCCATGCCAGCACACAGACATGGCGATTGTTCATCCCGACAGATGTGACCTGTGCATGCGAGATATCCCCTGGAAAAAGATTGCACTTGATAACACTTTCTGCGTCCTCCTTGACCTCAATAAGAACTGTATAATATTCTTCAACAGGTGGTGCTTTGGTTGGAGAAGGCATACTGCCAGAGATAATTGCAAACAAATCACTGTTGCATGAAATAATGTTCTGGATACTAACATTCGAAATACTGTCTGGTACTTGGAGTCGAAAGCTAGTCCACGTCTTCACCTCGATACTATATTTAAATATGATGAAAATCGAGTCATAGTGTGAATGGGAGGTGTTGTGCACATACAAGTAGCCTCTGGGATCATATGTGATGACTGGTTTTCTCATCTGCTCAGGTAAGGGAGCTAACTCTATCCAACGTCCTTCATTCACTATAAACCCGTACACAGTACTAACAGATATACTTTCTGAGAATGGGAATAGATGAAAGAGATTGTTGAAGTATAGGCCGTGACCACAACCACCTGCCATGATAATAACATCTCTTGTAGCGGGATCTTCCGCAATAAGTCCTGCGCTATACTTTGATTTTACATTGAGCACCATATCTTTACAATTTCTGCTGCTGTTTACAAACTTGTGTTTCTCTATAACTTCCTCAAGGAATTTCTTTGGAATATTGAGAAGATTCAGAGCACTAAAAAGTTCTTCAAAGTACACTAGCCTAACCTCCTGTTCTGATTGCACCCAGCGAACTATGAAATGGAAAAAGTCTTCCTGAGACACATAACATAGGGACGGATCAGATAACAGGGACATCACAGAGTCATGGGTAAGTGATAAAATGTCTTCTTTCTGCATAACCTCTGGTAGATTTCCACGTAAAAAATCAAATGCCCTTGTGTATAAGTCAAGGTCATAGAGACTGCACATCAGACAGATTCGAACACAATTATCGGTGTTGATGTTCACGGAGTAGAGGTAGTCCTGGCATGCTCGTTTTAACTCTGTAATCTGGAAATAGTCAGCAACCTCCAGCAAATCTTGTACATTTTCATAGCTGATTTCAACATTACCGAGATATAGAAACTCTAATGCAGAGCGGACAGAGGAAGGCTTTCCGATGTGTAACTTGACAGTCCCTACAAAGAAATTGTTTATATATCTTAAGATATAAGGTAATGCAGCACATGGCAGGATAAAAGCTGTAGGTGGCAGTTCATACCTATAGATTATATATTGATTTATTTCACAGGTTTTAAATCCACTACTATGACTTTTCTGCCTTTCAGGGAACGATAAATTGTAGAAAAAAAGGACAGTAAATAGCAGTTTAAACATTACTTATTAGAGCACGCAATACTACAGACATTATGTTAGGTGTTCTTCCATATATGTGTGTACCTGAAAATCTCTCTGCAAGGCCACTGTCATAGAGAGACTGGAAGTAGGGGCAGGATACTAAAACACACCAGTGAGCTTTTATCTCCTACAATGTACAACATATATGTATATAAACTAGCTTTAACTTGAAACATTATAGAAATCACATATCAATTCATCAGTTTAAGAATCAGAATTACTATTCATTCCATGCTTTTTTTTTTATTTTTCTGATCTTATTTTTCCCATAATCTTCACTTCACCGGGGAAAACCCAATTCGCCTGGTGTTACAAAATATATTATATATAACATGTAAAGACATATGAAAATGATTATACTACATGTATTAGAGTGTTATAGATATATCTTTTCTGTCTCAAAAATTGGACTGAAAAGTCCTCCAGAGAGGTTCAAGGTGACTGACCACATTCTCCACCACCAGAGTGACATCACAGAACTCTGACTGTGACATCATCTGGTCATGCAGGTGTTGCTGTAGGATCAAGGCATGGTTGTTCTTACTGCCCATCTGCCTTGGAAATGGAATGTCCATGGCTGTCTGAGGACTGACAACAGTGCTCTCATAAAAACAATTCTGCAATGTAGAAAGAAATTGTTATTTATGTTAAAATCAGACAAGATAATTTTATTCACTTCATTTTTTTCAAAACAAGAAATAATCATAATTCACAATGATATTCGCCGAGTATCACATTAATATACCAGATAGTTCAGCAAAGTAAATCACCAACTGACACAACATTTCACCAAGGTGAACCCATATCCATAGTATACAGTTCCAATGAGTAGTAAGGTAGGAGATAGACCCATATTGTCTCCTCTAATTCCCAGTAGGGGACAGGTAAGTATATGTTTCCATATACAATTTACTCTAACAGGTATCCAAGGAACTGATTCTGCACATGTACATGCATACAAATGTACTCTAATCAGTTTAACAAAATTGTCTACCCTTGAAGTCCTCAACTGGGTTTTTTTCATTGAAGTTAAGTCAATGATGTCTCACCTGTCAAACCCTGGTGACTACATTATAAATAATAACTTATCACCAGCTTATCTGGGGAGTTATCTTTTCTATTGTTTACCTTTTTATTTTTCCTGGTCAACCAGACAGACAATGGCTGTAATAGAATTAGCAAAGTATTGAAATTATTAGTCCAATGACCTTTTCTACCTCGGCTGTTACAGTACTAACTGTTGGCACATGAGTACCAACAGAAACCGTAGGATGATACTCTGTACATGAGTACCAACAGTAATAATGGAAGGATACTCATTGCATGATTACCAAAATTAACAAAAGGAGGATACTCTATACACGAGTACAAACAGTGGAGGACAATCAATAGCAGTACACGAGTACTGATCATGACATTGTAAGTGGGGGCATACTCACAACCGGAGCACTGGCAAAAACAGCAGGAGGAATCGACAAAACACTAGCTTATTCTACAATCGAACACGCATGCCATCGTGGTCTCAGAGTACTAGCCTCGTCTGTCAATGTACTCGTTCTACGATATCATTAGACGCAGGCCTATTCATAGTATATGGCGTCAAAGACCAGTATTTCGGATTGTACTTCTTAGTTAGGTCTACAGGCGACACGTTATAAAAGCGCTGCCTACAAGTAATGTCACCGTATATTTAGTAAAAGAAGTGTTCGTGCCAAAAAGCTAGACATTCGTTTAGACTTATTCACAAAGATATTACAAGTACTCACCTCTCTTTTTCCAGAATTAGGGACTGAGTTTCACTTTCAACATCTTAGTTACCTCCCCTGTCTTTCGCTACGCTACATAAGACGATATTCGATAGGATGATGGTCGACGAAACAAATTAGCCTATCCAATCAGATTAAGTCTCTTATACTTTCCATGTTTACATCAGAAAGGAAGCACGTGTATTGTGTCTAATAGCAAGTACTAGATGGATTGAGAAGCTATGCTTTAGATTTCTATGCGTTGTCCGACGGTCACAGAGAATTGTATCATAGGTAAATATTTACATGGTTCTGTGTGAAGGTCTGAACGTCTGACACTAACGTTATATAATCATGATTCCTTACAAATAAAATATTATAATCTAGAATTACAGAGTATGTTCATCAGTTAGGTTAGGTTAAAATTATTAAAATCACTCCTGTCCTTTGTCACTCCATACATATGAGATATCCATACAAATCCTCATGTACAATGACACAATTTAAACACATGAAAAGCGTGGACAGATACAGTGTACAATCAAATTTAACCATATGACAGATACAATTTGTATGATGTAAAAAATATGTATACATGTACACAATCTAACTCTAATCCAATGTAACATTCATTTGTAGCTAGAGAACAAGATTTAGAGTCATGGCCTCCTAATTTAAAGCTAGTTTGACTATTCAACCAAACTGAGCTTTATGTATGTAACTGCGATCAATTTCATAAGGCTGAAATGATATCGAAAATCCGCTTCTGTTTACATATAATGAACAGTTGAAAAAGATAATAATATTAATAATAATGAAACCATATTTGATACTTTGCAAAACTAAATAATACAACTATGTTCATTAAGATTTCATTTAAAAAAAAAATACTTGATGTCAACTTTCAGAAAATCCAGTAGAGAAGACAGCCATGACAACAAGACACCCTGTAGCTGTGTTGGATGATATTTATTACAGGCCTGTGTCATTAGGTATTCCAATAATATTCACATATACTGACCTTTATCTAGACCTGCAATAGCTTCGTATATGTATGTGCAATATCCTTGTCTCTGGTTAGTGAACATGTAAAAGTGGTCATTCTTTATTTCATTGCGGCCATTAGGATTCAAACCTGGCACCTCTGGCTGACTAGTCTGACACTCTAAAGATCAGGCTAAATAGATAGCCTAGTGGTATATTGCAACTAGTATTTAACAAGGGTTACATACTCCCCCTCCAGGAAGTAATTGGTTCTCAAGTTTCCAAGGGTTACAGCGGTACTTGTAAAAGTAAAGCTATGTATTATTCCTGGGTTCCTACATGGGTGCCAATGTAATAGTGGCCGCTTATTTCAATGCCTCCGCTAGCAAGTTTTGGGTAGTTTCTGTTTGTCATACAGAAATGACCATTTCAGTTATCAATTATCGTTATATAATTATATCATCATTATATCATTTCATTTTGTTCAACCTCTTCTCACATTCTGCACTTATTATGATGATATAGTGCTAATGTCATCTTGAGTACTATAACAGTATGATAGAGATGATATAAGATATCATCTTGAATATTGACTCAGTCTTATGGAGGCAACATTTTCTAGATGTCAAATAAAGCAGAAGTCTGAATTACATTGTATATTCAAAATTCATGCTTCCTTATTTATAGTGACAAAACAGGAGAGTTATATCTTATGTTTATGTTTCAGTTGATGTGTTTGTGTGCAACATTACAGATAAGAAAAAGGCAACAAAACTTATCCAGTAAGTAATTTTTGTACATTTGTGTAGCGTAGACATTTTGAACAGAACTTACACTACCTTTTGCACATTTACATTTTAATCATTCAAAAATTTTCATGGAAAGATAAAGGTAATAGATTTTTTTTTTTCAAAACTGCTTAAAAGAATTTTCAGGGATAAGGGAAGGAATGAAAGAGGATACAAGGAATGTTAAAATAGAATCTGTTTTGCCTTGATAAAAATCATATAAATTTTATCTGAAATCAACATAAACTTTCAGATTGTTTAAAGAAATCTGTTATTATAAACTTTACTGTCCACTATATTATGCTTGAATTCATGAGAAATGCAAGTATTTCAAGAAAATCATTTCTTTTAAGATCCCTTAAAAAAGAATTCCCGTTACCTGATCTGTGTCATTTGAAAAGGATAAGAGCTGTCAAAGGTGAGTTACACTAGACGTGCTGGGAGAAAATAGGGTGAAGACAGATTGGAAGTGGTATAAATACCAATATACAAGTTTTCATTTCACATGAGCCCAAGAAATTTTTATTTTTGCGAGCCTTGTTGAGAAAGAATTATGACAGAGACAAGTTTCATAAAATCTCATGTAAAATGAAAACAAATTTAAGATACTTTTTGTCACATTAATTAGTGGCGGAAGTCAGTTATGAATTTATATTTTAGACATCGTTGTGTTTCAGGAGCCAAAGGTCAAGGCCAATGTCACCCATGCTATGTATAGAAAATTATCAACTGATTCAGTTTAAACACTTGGTAATACTCCATTCTTCGTTGAAAATTTGTCAAACTTTATACACTATCAAGTATGGGTATACTCTGGACATTATTGTCTTTCAGGAGCCCAAGGTCAAGGCCAAGGTTAGTGGTGCTTTTTGTATAGAAAACATTGATTTTTCACTTTACAGATTAAATTTGAATTCCAGTCTAACTTTCTTCCTGTTTTTTCACCGATGTTTTTGTCTCAAGATTATTTTTGATTTTGCCATTGATCATTGGCCTATGCTTGTAACTTTTTTCTGTTTAAATCCCGTATCATCCTTCCTGTCATGTCAATATGTCAGTGTGTTGCGGTGGCATACATGTCTTACATTTCTAGTATAAATCGATAATTAAAAATTAAGAATTTGGTTTTTTTTTCAGATTCACCCTTACAAGTTATACTTTGTGATGGATCTTGTGACATAGATAAGGTCTCAGTGACCATATCAGAATCTCAGGATTACTCGACCTTGACAAAACCCTTCAAGGTTAAAGTTCCAGCAAAGATGCCTTTAACCAGACAACAGTATGAGGAATCCATTTTGTATTGGCCTGTAAATTTTCATGAAGACAAGAGGTTTATACATGTTCATATATTCAGTATTTTTACAATTTTGTCCTACAAATTAAGTGTATTAATAATGAATTTATTTTGTTTAGTTATCTGTTCTTACAACATTTTCTTTGTTGTCATAAAATTGATGACAGTATCTGTAAGTTAAGAAATAACAGGCAATGTGTGGTAAGAATCAATTTGAAACGGCAAAAGACAGTGTCTACAGCTGATGAAGTACTCGATGACATTATCATAGTGCTGTCACACTGAAATGGACACAACAGCATGACACCCAAGCTTGTCACTATATAATGACATTGGGCTAATAAAGTCCTTACAAGCCATATAAAGTAGTGAAGCAGAGTTTAGTTATAGATCAGCATCGGGGGATACAACCCATAACCTTAGGCAATAGACAGAAAAAGGTTGTTTATAAAAATGTGGCCAAATTAGTATGTCAGTAGGTAATAGGGTCAAAGGGAACAATACCTAAGCAATGAAACTGTTGAAGTAGATTTACAAATGTGAGTTACAATGTTTTTTGGTAAATTTTGTTTAATTTCTTATTTTGACAGTATCACAAAGGCATTGACAAACCAGGTATTCAATTCAGAAGAAATTGATAGAATTAACTCTCACATGGAAGAAGCCATAGTCATGGCAAAAATAGCTGCTGAGTCCAAACAGGTAGGTCACAATTATATAGACACTTTACTGTACAAAACATCATAAACTTAGAGTTAGCATATTTGTATTTCTGTTGATTGTTGATTGAAAGCATTGAAGAATTTGAATTTGTTGGTTTAAAGCGTTAGAATTTTTGTATTTCTTTTCTGTTGGTTTAAAGGATTACAATATTTGTTTTTCTGTTTGTTTGAATAATTTTGAAAACAGGTTTAATTCTTATTTGTTTTACATATTAAATTCCATGTTGTAGACTACACAGATTCAGCCATAGATATAGGGCGCTTGATTTAAAAACATGCAGCTAAGATACATTAATGTATGCTTAATGCAAATTAAATGTACTGTATCCATATTTAGCAAGAGTTATTCCCCTTAGCTTGCTGTGATTAAAATATGCAGTGTATAGGGTTTGTACTGTTTTTCCTTTTTGCATAAAGAAATTATTTTAGCTGTGATGATTTGTAGGTCTAGATTGGATTGTTGTTTGATCAGAGTTGGACAAAGGCTTGACTGTGATGGCTGAGAGGTGTAGGTTGGATGGTATGGATGATGTACACTCTAGCCATTAGATCAAGGTTAACCAACTGTTTTTCATTTATTTCAGCTCCCGTTAGGTGCAGTGGTAGTGGATCCAGTTCAAAATATAGTAATTGCCAAAGGTTATGACCTACGACATGGCTCTCACCCACTACAGCATGCTGCCATGGTAGCCATTGACCTTGTGGCAAGGTCACAGGGTGGGGGTATGTGGCCCTTACAAGGTACATTTTGACTTTACTTGTAGATGTATGACATGGGAAATAGATACTGGCAGTATACTGGTGAACAAATAAGGGAAAAACTTCAATGATGTCTCATGACCTAGATAGAATTGTGAGGAAGATAAACTGATTCTCTTCACTACTTTTTAATATAGAAGTTTTCTGGAGCATGAGTCGTGCACTTTTACCTACTTGCATATCATTGAAAGGTGAAGTGTCAAGTATTGAAATGTAGTCACATTTCTTCAGTATATAAATATGTATACTATAATTCTGTACAAAAGTGGATACAATTAAGTTCTAGAAGGAGCACTTTGCCTGATTCCTGTTTTTGTCATGATATAGATGCAGATGCTTTATGTTGCATTTCATCAATGAAAAATACATGTATTAATTTAGAAATATTACATGAAATTGAGTTGATTTGATTTGTATCTGCATTCATTTTTGCTGTCTGATGAATACTGTCTCTTTACCTTATTGCATATAGATAATACTCTGCTTGAATAATTATATCTGGTGCTTTCTTTTCAGGTTACAAGGATTTGTACTACAAAGTTGCTGACCAGAGCTTGGAGTCTACTGCATCTGTGACATGTCCAGTAATGACTGCTAACTATGAGAAAACAGATAAAGACAAAAAATGTGGTCAAGCGACAAATAATGATCAGTATTCTAGCAACACTAGTGACCAATACAGTTCTAAGTCTGGTCAAGTGAAGACAGGGCCATATCTTTGTACTGGTTATGACATTTACCTGACCAGGGAACCTTGTGTCATGTAAGTATGAACAGGTTGTTATCATATATCTACCCCATTATCAGTGGAAGTAACACTCATCACATATCTACCCTGTTATCAGATAAAAACAACACCCATCACATATCTACCCTGTTATCATTGGAAATAACACCCATCACATATCTACCCTGTTATCAGATAAAAATAACACCCATCACATATCCACCCCGTTATCAGATAAAAATAATATCCATTACATATCTACCCTGTTATCAGCGAAAATAACACCCATCACATATCCACCCTGTTATCAGAAAAGAAAGAATAAAAATAACCACCATCACATTTCCATCCTGTTATCAGATAAAATTAACACATATCACATATCTACCCTGTTATCAGATAAACATAACACCCATCACATATCTACCCTGTTATCAGATAAAAATAACACTCATCACATATTAACCCCGTTATCAGATAAAAATAACACCCATCACATATCAACCCTGTTATCATTGGAAATAACACCCATCACATATCTACCCTGTTATCTGATAAAAACATCACCCATCACATTTCCATCTTGTTATCAGGTAAAATTAACACACATCACATATCTACCCTGTTATCAGATAAAAATAACACCCATCACATATCTACCCTGTTATCAGATAAAAATAACACTCATCACATATTAACCCTGTTATCAGATAAAAATAACCCATCACATATCCACCCTGTTATCAGATAAAAATAACACCCATCACATATCTACCCTGTTATCAGATAAAAATAACACCCATCACATATCTACCCTGTTATCAGATAAAAATAACACCCATCACATATCTACCCTGTTATCAGATAAAAATAACACCCATCACATATCCACCCTGTTATCAGCAGAAATAACACCCATCACGTATCTACCCTGTTGTCCCATAAAAACATCACCCATCACATTTCCATCCTTTTATCAGATAAAATCAACACACATCTACTCTGTTATCAGATGAAAATAACACCCATCAAATATCCACCCCGTTATCAGATAAAAATAATATCCATTACATATCTACCCTGTTATCAGATAAAAATAACACCCATCACATATCAACCCTGTTATCATTGGAAATAACACCCATCACATATCTACCCTGTTATCAGCAGAAATAACACCCATCACATATCTACCCTGTTATCAGATAAAATAACACCCATCACATATCCACCCTGTTATCGGATAAAAATAACACATATCTACCCTGTTATCAGATAAAAATAACACCCATCACATATCTACCCTGTTATCATGGGAAATAACACCCATCATTAAACAGACAGGGTAAATATACTAAGTTTATGTAACTAAGTAACATTTTAAGAGAGAGGGTATATGTAATCCTTGTTGAATGACTATCTTACTTTGGAATTCCAGGTGTGCTATGGCCCTGGTCCATTCTCGAATAGGACGTGTATTCTATGGAAAATCCTATCCTAAGGAAGGAGCTCTCGGATCAAAGTACAAACTCCACACCCAAACAGGCCTCAATCATCACTACCTAGTATTCCGCGATGTCCAGCGAACCAAGTGTGACCAGCTGTATGATACAGCTGTTACATAATTCATTTCCAGTTCTATAGAGTATGGACAGTCATTACAATTAGAGATATAATATCACAGACTTAGTAATATATCTGAATCCGCGATAATATGCAGAGTAACTTATCCATTTGTGTTATGCACAAACTTTTATTTCACATGCAATATTTATAGAAAATAAAATTTTCATGAAGTGACATATTTTGCATTTTAATCATACATGGGCTTTTAGGAAGGATTTGTCCGACCAAAGAAGACGTTCACAAGGTGACCTATAGCCTTCGCTTTTTGTCAGTCGTTGCGCGCTGGGCATATTTAAACATTTTAAATTTCTTCTCAAGCTTCATTAGAGGAAATGAGAATAAACTTGCCAAAAGTAGAATTTGTCACATTAAAGAAGTCTCTTGGAAGCATTTGTCAAACCAGTGAAGAACACTTTCAGAAAGCTCTGTAAGACCTTCATGAGAAATACTACAATCCTACAGCTTCCCGAAAAATACGGCAATCCTACAGCTTCCTGGGAAATACCGCAATCCTACAGCTTCCTGGGAAATACTACAATCCCACAGCTTCCCGAGAAATAAAGCTATCCTACAGCTTCCTGTGAAATACCGCAATCCCACAGCTTCCCGAGAAATACCGCAATCCCACAGCTTCCCGAGAAATACCGCAATCCCGTAGCTTCCTGGGAAATACTACAATCCTACAGCTTCTTGAGATATACCGCAATCCTACAGCTTCTCGTGAAATACTACACCTAAACATTCAGACCTAAGCTTTCACGGCCTCTACATTAAACATTCAGACCTAAGCTTTCACGGCCTCTACATTAAACATTCAGACCTACGCTTTCACGGCCTCTACATTAAACATTCAGACCTACGCTTTCACGGCCTCTACATTAAACATTCAGACCTACGCTTTCACGGCCTCTACATTAAACATTCAGACCTAAGCTTTCACGGCTTTCACGGCCTCTACATGAAACCTTCAGAGCTAGCCTAAGCTTTCACGGCCTCTACATTAAACATTCAAGCTTTCACGGCCTCTACATTAAACATTCAGACTAAGCTTTAGCATTAAACATTAAGCTTTCACGGCCTCTACATTAAACATTCAGACCTAAGCTTTTCTACATTAAACATTCAGACCTAAGCTTTCTACATTAAACATTCAACATTCACGGCCTCTACATGAAACATTCAGACCTAAGCTTTCACGGCCTCTACATTAAACATTCAACATTCACGGACATTAAACATTCAGACCTAAGCTTTCACGGCCTCTACATTAAACATTCAGACCTACGCTTTCACGGACTCTACATTAAACATTCAGACCTACGCTTTCACGGCCTCTACATTAAACATTCAGACCTACGCTTTCACGGCCTCTACATTAGACATTCAGACCTACGCTTTCACGGCCTCTACATTAAACATTCAGACCTATGCTTTCACGGCCTCTACATTAAACATTCAGACCTACGCTTTCACGGCCTCTACATTAAACATTCAGACCTAAGCATTCACGGCCTCTACATTAAACATTCTAGCCTACGCTTTCACGGCCTCTACATTAAACATTCAGACCTAAGCTTTCACGGCCTCTACATTAAACATTCAGACCTAAGCTTTCACGGCCTCTACATTAAACATTCAGACCTAAGCTTTCACGGCCTCTACATTAAACATTCAGACCTAAGCTTTCACGGCCTCTACATTAAACATTCAGACCTCAGCTTTCACGGCCTCTACATTAAACATTCAGACCTAAGCTTTCACGGCCTCTACATTAAACATTCAGACCTAAGCTTTCACGGCCTCTACATTAAACATTCAGCCTCTACATTAAACATTCACCTAAGCTTTCACGGCCTCTACATTAAACATTCAGACCTAAGCTTTCACGGCCTCTACACGGCCTAAACATTCAGACCTAAGCTTTCACGGCCTAAACATTACACGGCCTCTTAAACATTCAGACCTAAGCTTTCACGGCCTCTACATTAAACATTCAGACCTAAGCTTTCACGGCCTCTACATTAAACATTCACGGCCTCTACCTAGACCTAAGCTTTCACGGCCTCTACATTAAACATTCAGACCTAAGCTTTCACGGCCTCTACATTAAACATTCAGACCTAAGCTTTCACGGCCTCTACATTAAACATTCAGACCTAAGCTTTCACGGCCTCTACATTAAACATTCAGACCTGGCCTCAGCTTTCACAGCCTCTACATTGAACATTGAGACCTAAGCTTTCACGGCCTCTACATTAAACATTCAGACCTAGTCTAAGCTTTCACAGCCTCTACATTAAACATTCAGACCTAAGCTTTCACGGCCTCTACATTAAACATTCAGACCTACGCTTTCACGGCCTCTACATTAAACATTCAGACCTAAGCTTTCACGGCCTCTACATTAAACATTCAGACCTAAGCTTTCACGGCCTCTACATTAAACATTCAGACCTAAGCTTTCACGGCCTCTACATTAAACATTCAGACCTAAGCTTTCACGGCCTCTACATGAAACATTCAGACCTAGTCTAAGCTTTCACAGCCTCTACATTAAACATTCAGACCTAAGCTTTCACGGCCTCTACATTAAACATTCAGACCTAAGCTTTCACGGCCTCTACATTAAACATTCAGACCTAAACTTTCACGGCCTCTACATTCAACATTCAGACCTAAGCTTTCACGGCCTCTACATGAAACATTCAGACCTAAGCTTTCACGGCCTCTACATTAAACATTCAGACCTAAGCTTTCACGGCCTGTACATGAAACATTCAGACCTAAGCTTTCACGGCCTCTACATTTAACATTCAGACCTAAGCTTTCACGGCCTCTACATTAAACATTCAGACCTAAGCTTTCACGGCCTCTACATTAAACATTCAGACCTAAGCTTTCACGGCCTCTACATTAAACATTCAGACCTAAGCTTTCACGGCCTCTACATTAAACATTCAGACCTAAGCTTTCACGGCCTCTACATTAAACATTCAGACCTAAGCTTTCACGGCCTCTACATTAAACATTCAGACCTAAGCTTTCACGGCCTCTACATTAAACATTCAGACCTAGCCTAAGCTTTCACGGCCTCTACATGAAACATTCAGAGCTAGCCTAAGCTTTCACGGCCTCTACATTTAACATTCAGACCTAAGCTTTCACGGCCTCTACATTAAACATTCAGACCTAAGCTTTCACGGCCTCTACATTAAACATTCAGACCTAAGCTTTCACGGCCTCTACATTAAACATTACATTAAACATTCAAGCTTTCACGGCCTCTACTACACCTTAAACAGACCTAAGCTTTCACGGCCTCTACATTAAACATTCAGACCTAAGCTTTCACGGCCTCTACATTAAACATTCAGACCTAAGCTTTCACGGCCTCTACATTAAACATTCAGACCTAAGCTTTCACGGCCTCTACATTAAACATTCAGACCTAAGCTTTCACGGCCTCTACATTAAACATTCAGACCTAAGCTTTCACGGCCTCTACATTTAACATTCAGACCTAAGCTTTCACGGCTTCTACATTAAACATGCAGACCTAAACTTTCACGGCCTCTACATTAAACATTCAGACCTAAGCTGTCACGGCCTCTACATTAAACATTCAGACCTAAGCTTTCACGGCCTCTACATCAAACATTCAGACCTAATCTAAGCTTTCACGGCCTCTACATTAAACATTCAGACCTAAGCTTTCACGGCCTCTACATTAAACATTCAGACCTAAGCTTTCACGGCCTCTACATTAAACATTCAGACCTAAGCTTTCACGGCCTCTACATTAAACATTCAGACCTAAGCTTTCACGGCCTCTACATGAAACATTCAGACCTAGCCTAAGCTTTCACGGCCTCTACATTAAACATTCAGACCTAGCCTAAGCTTTCACGGCCTCTACATTAAACATTCAGACCTAAGCTTTCACGGCCTCTACATTAAACATTCAGACCTAAGCTTTCACGGCCTCTACATTAAACATTCAGACCTAAGCTTTCACGGCCTGTACATGAAACATTCAGACCTCAGCTTTCACGGCCTCTACATTAAACATTCAGACCTCACGGCCTCTACATTAAACATTCAGACCTAAGCTTTCATGGCCTCTACATTAAACATTCAGACCCTAAGCTTTCACGGCCTCTACATTAAACATTCAGACCTAAGCTTTCACGGCCTCTACATTAAACATTCAGACCTAAGCTTTCACGGCCTCTACATTAAACATTCAGACCTAAGCTTTCACGGCCTCTACATGAAACCTTCAGAGCTAGCCTAAGCTTTCACGGCCTCTACATTAAACATTCAGACCAAAGCTTTCATGGCCTCTACATGAAACCTTCAGATTTAGCCTACGCTTTCACGGCCTCTACATTAAACATTCAGACCTAAGCTTTTACGTCCTCTATATGAAACATTCCGACCTAGCCTAAGCTTTCACGGCCTCTACATTAAACATTCAGAACTAGTCTAAGCTTTCACGGCCTCTACATGAAACATTCAGACCTAAGCTTTCACGGCCTCTACATTAAACATTCAGACCTAAGCTTTCACGGCCTCTACATTAAACATTCAGACCTAAGCTTTCACGGCCTCTACATTAAACATTCAGACCTAAGCTTTCATGGCCTCAACATTAAACATTTAGGCTTTCAGCCTCTACATTAAACTACCTAAGCTTTCACGGCCTCTACATTAAACATTCAGACCTAAGCTTTCACGGCCTCTACATTAAACATTCAGACCTAAGCTTTCACGGCCTCTACATTAAACATTCAGACCTAAGCTTTCACGGCCTCTACATTTAACATTCAGACCTAAGCTTTCACACGGCCTCTACATTAAACATTCAGACCTAAGCTTTCACGGCCTCTACATTAAACATTCAGACCTAGCCTAAGCTTTCACGGCCTCTACATTAAACATTCAGACCTAAGCTTTCACGGCCTCTACATTAAACATTCAGACCTAAGCTTTCACGGCCTCTACATTAAACATTCAGACCTAAGCTTTCACGGCCTCTACATTAAACATTCAGACCTACGCTTTCACGGCCTCTACATTAAACATT